AAGAAGAACCTAATATGTGAACATTGCAAGAAACCTAAGCATACCAAAGAAACCTGTTGGAAGCTACATCCTCATCTAGTTCCAGCAAAACTCAAGAACAAAAAGGGGAATGCTAATACAACTGTTACTACTGATTGTACAACCTTATCAGGCACAAGAGCAGCACCATTAGACACTCTAGCTACTGTTCGAGCTGCCTTGACTCAGTTGGAAAAGGAGGTTAGTAATTCAACATCATCATTTCAACCGGTCACAACATCAGCTCCTCCCACCTCAGCATTTGCTCATTCAAGTACATCGGCCTCAGCTTATCATGCTTCAGCTCCAGGTAACACTGAACATTGTTTTGTAATAGACTCAGGTGCATCTGATCATATGAATGGTTTGCCTTCACTATTTACTACCTATCACTTATCCTTTGGTAAAGACAAGGTGTCTATTGCTGATGGATCACTTGTTCCCATTTTTGGCAAGGGAGATATCAAGTTGTCTAGTGCCATTTTCCTGTCTTCTGTTCTACATGTTCCTAAACTTAGCACCAATTTACTTTCAGTTAGCAGCATTACTAAAAACTAGAATTTCTCAGTAACCTTGTTTCCTGATCGATGTGTTTTTTAGGACTTGGAGACAAGGAAGGTGATTGGGACTGGCCGTGAGACAAATGGAATCTATCTGCTTGGAGGAAGTTCATAGTGGGAAGGTATTGAAGTTAGAGGGTTTTTTGTTTCTCAGTCTATTGGTCAAGTCATGCTTTGGGATAACCGATTGGGTCATTTATCCTTTAGGTCTTTGAAAAGCTTGTTTCCTAGTTTATTTGAATCTATCCAGATGTCTAGTTTAAAGTGTGAAAGTTGCGAGCTTGCAAAGCATTGTAGAAAAACCTATTCATTAAGTAATAAGAGAAGTAATGTTCTTTTTGACATTGTGCATACCGATGTTTGGGGACCATATCACATCATTGCTATGGGGGGGGGGGGGTACAGATACTTCTTGTTGTTTGTTGATGACTACACCYGGTTTTCTTGGGTCTACTTGATGTGTTCTCGAGATGAGGTTTCTACCCTGACCCAGACCTTTCATCAGATGATTTTAACCTAGTTTGGGGTAAAAATCAAATTTTTTTAGATCCGATAATGCGAGAGAATACTTTAAAACATCACTAGCCTCCTATTTTCTTGACCATGGGATTATCCATCAGAGTACCTGCCCTCATACCCCTTAACAGAATGGGGTGGTTGAGAGAAAGAATAGGCACATATTGGAAGTAGCTAGAAGTATCATATTTAACTCCAATGTGCCTATACATTTCTAGGGAAATGCCATTCTCACAGTTGTGTATCTCATCAACTGAATCCCTTCATGGGTTCTTGACATGAAACCTCCATCTTTTATATCCTGATAAAGAGCTGTTTTCTGTCCCTCTTAAAACCTTTGGTTGTACCTGCTTCGTGCAAATTCTTGGCCCTCACCATTCTGAATTTGACCCTAAAGCCTCAAAATGTATTTTCCTTGTTATGCACAAACTCAAAAGGGATATTGCTGCTATGAACCTACTTCGGGAAAGAGATTTGTATCCATGGATGTTACTTTCTTTGAGGGTGTACTTTATTACTCTGGGGTTTCTTCTCAGGGGGAGAGTAGTAAGGTTGGGGTTAACACATCAGAAGTCCCTTTACCTGTTCCATTGAGTGAAGAGGGGTGTAATGGGGAGGGTTGTCAAAAATGTTGGGACTTCAGAGTTTATCACAAATGGTGTAGGCAGGTTGATTTCGGTCATCAACAGTCCAGGCCAGCCCCAATTCCTTCTAAGGATCTAGATCTAGGTACTACATCTCTTCTAGCTCCCATTACAGATGAGCCTTTTGCTGTTGAGCCTTCTCCATCTTCTGAGCCCTCACTTCCATTGAATGACCTTGACCTTCACATTGCAGTCCGTAATGGCAAACGCCGTAGCACCTCATCCACAACCCACTGTATCTCACAATTCTTGTCCTATGATCACCTGTCTCCCTCTTACAAGTCATCTCTTACATCCATTGTTGATATTCCCATTCCAATAACAGTACAGGAAGTCCTGACCATTCTTGAGTGGAAGGATGCAATGAAGGTAGAAATGGATGCCCTTCTAAGAAACAATACTTGGGAGCAAGATGATCAATCCAAAGGGAAGACACTAGTTGGATGTAGATGGGTGTTTATTGTGAAACATAATGGTGATAACAGTGAAATTGAGTATCTTAAGAAACTTCTCCATCAAGAATTTGAGGTAAAAGACCTGAGAGAGCTATAGTATTTCTTGGGTATTGAGGTAGCTCGGTCCAAGCATGGAATCTTTGTTTCTCAAAGGAAGCATGTCCTTGATTTGTTAGAAGAAACAGGAAAGTTGGGTGTTAAGCCAGCCAATATACCTATTGAACAGAATCACAAGATTAGTGCAGAAGGTGGAGAGCCTCTTGAAGATAAAGCTATGTTCCAAAGATTAGTTGGGAAACTACTCTATCGTTGTCTTTCACGACCAGGCATCAGCTATGTAGTTAGTGTTGTTAGTCAATATATGCACTCTCCTAGAACTACCCACGTACTTGCTGTTGAGAGGATATTGGCATATTTAAAGAGGTGTCCAGGCAGAGGTGTACTATTTAAGGATAATAATCACATGAAGATAGAAGTTTACACAGATGCAGGTTGGGCCGGTTGTGTTGATGATAGAAGGTCTACCTTTGGATATTGTGCCTTTGTAGGAGGTAACCTTGTTTCTTGGAGGAGTAAGAAACAAAATGTTGTTTCTCGTTCCAATGCTGAAGCTGAATATCGGTCTATGGCAAATGGTGTGGCTGAAATACTATGGTTGAAATCACTGTTTGATGAATTGGGTATTACCTATGAGAAACCTCTAATGTTGTAATGTGATAATCAGGCTACTATTAATATAGCTCAAAACCCGGTACAACATGACAGAACGAAACACATTGATGTGGATCGACATTTTATCAGGGAAATGGTTGCATATCAAGAAGTCTATCTTCCATATATCAGCTCCAACATGCAGCTTGCCGATCTTCTCACCAAGGCAGTTTCAAAGAAAAAGTTAGAAGCAGATCTATGCAAGTTGGGAATGACAAACATCCATTCCCAACTTGAGGGGGAGTGTAGAAACCACTGATGTGGTCTCCAACTATTAGTTATTTAAGTCAGTCCACAATTAGTTGTTAGTCTTTTATTAGGATTTTATTTTTGCCATGTAAGCAGTCTTATCCTTACTTCATAATTAATATAAATAGAAAGAGGGGGGCAGCAGATTAAGCATCCTCTTCTTTTTTGAAACCCTTCCTTCGAATTCTTCTTCTCTTCTTCTCTTCTTCTCTCTTTCTCCTCTCATTCTCTCCTCTCATATTCTTAATTTCCTGTTGATTATACATCACAGCTTGGGCTGTTAGTAGTCTCATACGACTACATATATCAATGTTTTAAAAGTGAGAGGCAAAACAAAGCACAAGGGCTTCCAAATGTGAAATGCCTGAACTGCAAGGCACAAGGCAAGGTGTGTGTCTGGATGAAGCAAGGCACAACTTTTCAAAAGAACGAAAGAAAAAAGTAAAATTTGACATGTAAAACTATGTAAATCTGGAATTTATATCAAATAACAAACATGTAAACCTCCATAATTGCATGATTTGATAATCCATAACCATATGAATACAGGGATGTCTACTTACAGGTTATAGATGTGGATTGTGCCAAGGTTCTTAAGCATTCAACAATTCAAGCTTGTGAAACTCTCAACGTGTTTGTGTATCTCCTAGTTGCATTACTTTAGGTAGCAAGTGTGGTGTTAGATGTCTTGTTTTCCTAATTCTAGGAGGTTGGGACCTTTATGGAGGTAGAAGGTTCAGAGGCTGTGCCTCTGACATGAATATTTAGCTATATATATATATATACACACACACACAAACACACACACTTGGGTGGACTTGCATCTCAGCCCAGGTGTGTGCCTTTTGAATGTTGCCTTACTTGGGTTGAAGTGAAGCACATGCCTTAAAATGCATCTTTCTTTCATCTGTGTATTGTTGTCTTTTAAAACACTGTAGTGCATGTTTATGGGACCAACATTGGGACTGTATCCAGTCTATCCCTCTCAAGACCCCAGATAACTGGGATCAACATTTGTGAATGGCTTTTTTGGGTATATGTTAATGGCCAGAAAGAAATTCAAGTATCAAAATTAGTAGAAAATAGAGTAAGTTATGTTTTCTATGATTTTGTTTTGATTCTATTTCAATTGCTTGAAAATTTCTTTTGAATTGAATTATGGGTTGTACATTTCTTGCATTTACTCTTATGTGTTAAAATATGTAGTTTCTTGTGATTCACCAACCATTATGTCTAGTTTCCACCCCTAGTCCACACGTGTGGGTAACACAACTACTGATTTGAGTAACCGGGGCCACCACCATATGGTTTAATTGTTATAGAAAATTAATTTTGAACGAGGATTATTGTTATATGGAAAGGTTGTCTTTTTTTTTTTTAATGAATAGATTTCTTATTGGTTTTTATTGATTGGACGGCTAGGTTGTTGAGAACATTCACCTTGGAGACCCTCAGAACTGAGAGTGTAATGGTATGGTAATTTGGTTGTATCCTATTATTCCTCATTGCATATGGTTAGAGATATTAGTACTGTGGATGTGCAAAATACTGCTAATGTATGCATTTATGAATATTTAGTTTAAGGTGTTGTCTTAACATCTTTATGTGGATGTAATCAGTTACATTTTTATTTTTAATAAAACCTTTTGTTTTGCTATCAAAAAAGTATTGTGCTCAAATCTCAAGGCTGTACTCTTAATTTCTGAATTTTCATGTAGCAAATTCATGTGATTTTGTATTGCAGTGTCTAACTGAGGTTGCAGCTTCTTTGCTGCCTATGCCAATTTCTATTTTTCCATATATATTTTAATGTTTTCTCCACTTTGTTTTAACTCTCATTACCACAGGTAATTGTTTTGATCGGAGAGACTGGTTCTGGGAAGAGTACACAACTTGTTCAATTTCTTGCTGATTCAGGAATAGCTGCCGACCGGTCTATTATATGCACTCAACCACGCAAGATTGCTGCCATTTCTTTGGCGCACAGGATTCGGGAAGAAAGTAATGGGTGTTATGAAGATAATTCAGTTATTTGTTATCCAACGTACTCCTCCATGCAGGGGTTTAGTTCTAAGGTAATATTTATGACGGATCACTGTCTACTACAACACTACATGAATGATAAGAATTTGGATAACATTTCATGCATCATTTTAGATGAGGCTCATGAAAGAAGTTTGAATACTGATCTCCTATTGGCCTTGGTTAAAAAGCTACTGGAACAGAGGTTTGATCTAAGACTTATTATAATGTCTGCCACAGCTGATGCAAGCAAGCTTTCGGATTACTTCTTTGGTTGCAGAACCTTTCATGTGGTGGGAAGAAAATTTCCTGTTGATATCCAGTATGCTCCAGTTGCATGTACAGCGGCTTCTGCTGTTTTGAAGTCTAACTCTGGTAGTCATGCTTCATATGTTTCTGATGTAGTGAAGATGGCAATGGAAATCCATGCAAGAGAAGAAGAAGGAGCAATACTGGCTTTTTTGACTTCCCAAATGGAAGTAGAATGGGCATGTGAAAATTTTCAAGTTCCCAATGCAGTTGCATTGGCCTTACATGGAAAACTTTCTTACGAGGAGCAAGGTCATATTTTCCAGAATTATGCTGGGAAAAGAAAAGTTATTTTTGCAACAAATCTGGCAGAGACATCATTGACAATTCCTGGGGTTAAGTATGTAATTGATTCCGGCATGGTTAAAGAGAGCAGATTTGAACCTGCCACTGGTATGAATGTGCTTAGAGTTTGCAGGGTTAGCCAGAGTTCTGCTGATCAACGAGCTGGCCGAGCTGGTAGAACAGAACTGGGCAAGTGCTACAGATTGTACTCTGAAAGTGATTTTGAGTCATTTTCTTCCCATCAGGAACCAGAGATTCRTAGAGTTCACCTTGGGGTTGCAGTTCTGAGGATTCTTGCCTTGGGCATTAAGAATGTACAAGAATTTGATTTTGTTGATGCACCTAGTCCCAAGGCTATTGACATGGCCATTCAGAATCTTATTCAGCTAGGTGCTATTACATTAAAAAATGATGTTTTTGAATTTACGGACTGTGGTTGGAAATTGGTTAAGTTGGCTATTGAGCCTCGTCTTGGTAAAATTATCCTCGATTGCTGTTACTATGGTTTAAGTAAAGAGGGTGTCATTCTTTCTGCAGTAATGGCTAATTCCAGTAGCATATTCTGCAGAGTTGGTGGTGATGAAGATAAATTAAAATCAGACAGCCTTAAGGTGCAATTCTGTCATCGTGGTGGAGACCTCTTCACACTGCTCTCTGTTTACAAGGAGTGGGAAGAAGTCCCTCATGAAAATAGAAATAAATGGTGCTGGAGCAACAGTATAAATGCAAAATCCATGCGCAGATGTAAAGAGACAGTTCAGGAATTAGAAAACTGCCTTAAAAGTGAATTACGCATTATTGTTCCAAGTTACTGGTTGTGGAATCCCCATGTGCCCACTGAACATGAAAAAAAACTGAAGATGGCTATTTTCTCAGCTCTTGCTGATAATGTGGCAATGTACTCTGGATATGATCGACTTGGTTATGAAGTGGCTTTAACTGGACAATATGTCCCGCTCCATCCTTCATGTTCATTACTTGTATATGGTCAAAAGCCTAGTTGGGTGGTTTTCTCTGAAATCCTATCAATATCGAACCAATATTTGGTGTGTGTAACTGCCATTGATGATGAGTGTTTGTCTCTGTCTTGTCCTCTGTTTGATGTTTCACAGATGAAGAGCTGGAAGCTGCAGATGAGGTTGATGACTGGGTTTGGCAATATTTTGTTGAGAAGGTTCTGTGGGAAATCAAACACTAATTTGCATCGTCTTGTCTCTCGCATTCGAACTTACTGCAAGGATGAGCGAATTAGCATTGAAGTTGATGTTGATAAAAGAGAGATTCAACTATTTGCCTCTTTAGGTGATATGGACATGACCTATGGCCTTGTCAATGATGCCTTGGAGTTGGAAAAGAAATGGTTAAGAGATGAATGCATGGAGAAATGTTTGTACCATGGAGGATCTGGTGTTTCTCCCTCTTTTGCACTATTTGGATCTGGTGCTATGATTAGGCATCTGGAACTTGAAAAGAGATATTTAACTGTGGATGTATATCATTCAGATTCAAGTTCTATTAATGATAAGGAACTTCTTATGTTTTTTGAGGAACACGTATCTGGAATTTCTGGTTATCTTAAGTATCCAGCTTTTGGACAAGATGGTGAGGACACAGAAAAATGGGGCAGAATAGGATTTCTAACTCCTGAAGCGGCTGAAAAGGCTGTTGCAGAGCTTAATGATGTTGAATACTGTGGCTCATTGCTGAAGGTATCTCCTTCGAGGACAAGCTTTGCTACTGATCACAGAATGTTTTCATTTCCAGCTGTAAGAGCGAAAATTTCTTGGCCCCGAAGATATAGCAAGGGTTTTGCAATTGTCAGATGTGCAAGGCAGGATGCTAATTTTATTGTTAATGAATGCTCTAATCTGCTTATAGGAGGACGGTTTGTCCGTTGTGAAAATAGCAGGAAATACATGGATAGTGTTGTCATACATGGACTTCATAAAGAAGTTTCTGAATCAGAAATTTTAGATGTTCTAAGAAATGCAACACATAGGAGAATTCTGGATGTTTTCTTGGTGAGAGGAGATGCTGTGAACAACCTATCATCTGCTGCTTGTGAAGAGGCACTTCTCAAAGAAATTGCTTCATTCATGCCTAGCAATATCCCCCTTAGCAATTGTTGCCGGGTCCAGGTGTTTCCTCCTGAACCAAAGGATTATTTGATGAAGGCTGTCATAACTTTTGATGGAAGATTACATTTGGAGGCAGCAAAGGCTTTGCAGCACATCCAAGGGAAAGCACTCAATGGTTGTTTTTCATGGCAGAAGATACAGTGCCAGCAGATGTTTCACAGCTCTGTCTCCTGCCCTGCTGCTGTTTATTTTGTCATCAAGACAGAGCTGGACTCTTTACTCAAGAGATTTGAGCAACGAAATGGTAATTCCTATAGATTTGTTTCAAGAAGAATAATTTTCTTTCCTTTAATTTTTCCTTGCTATCCTCCCTGTCTCCTTCCTGGTTTGCATATCCTTAGAAAAGATTCTTTTGGTGGTTCCCTTTCCTCTGCTTGTTCTTTGTGGTTCACCTAGGGGTGCGTGATGTCCTTTCACCTTCTTAATTAACTGCTTTATTAAAGTATGCAGTTTCCAGAATGGAGAGTAATATGATTTAAATGACTTATATATAAATGGCTAGATTTCTTTATTATACTTACAATGGTGACAATTATTATTTTTAAATGAATTGATATAAACTGCTGATAGAGTACTTATTAGAATTGTTGTTTTCGTGCAATTAATTTCATTCTGTTATGAGTAATTAATTATCAGCCAGTTATTAARAATATCTTTCTTTTTTCATTTTTGAGAAAATGTAACTATTATATTCAAAAAGAGCAAAAAGGCAGGGGATGTACAGACTTTGCAAATATCCTTCTTAATGCACTGATGCTTCTTTTTGGTGTGGTTGACAACTTATAGCACCACAGGCTTCTTTAACTCATTTTTGTAGCCCTATGTGACATCCTCCGGATTATTTAACCAGCCCACGGATTCACGGATTCCGACATCCTCTGGATTCATGGATTCCCTTTGCTCATTACAAAAATCACATTCAAGGTCTGGCAGATTGGCTCCTTGGTTAATCACCTTCCCACACCACCACCCACAAAAAATTCAACTTTTGAGGGTGCTGTTGTTCTCCAAATGGCTTTGTAAGGAAAGGATCTGTCTTGCTCTCCCAACAAGCCAACATAAAAGGACCTGACTGAGAAGGTACTTGCATTGGACCATTTTTCACTGTCTGATATCTTGTCCACCCACATTGACTTGCTGATTGTACAACAAGGACATCAAGTCAGCTGCCATCTGCAACTCAATCATAAAATTTCCTTCCAAAAGCAGGATTTCAAAGTAAGAGAGGTTCCTTCCACCTGAAAGCATTCTGCTACTGTAGCTTCTTTGTTGCAAGCCAAAACAAACAGCTCTGGGAAATTTTCTTTCAAAGTTGATTCATCACACCAGGGGTCCCGCAAAATTTTATTCTAGTCCCATTACAAATATCAAAAAAAAAAAAATCTAGTCCCATTACCAAGAAGGTATCTTATGCCTCTCAAGATGTTAGGGAAGGATTTATATATTCCCTTCTATACTCCACAGCCATAAGACAGCTGAGAGTCCAATGCATGCCAACCATTATCGCATAATCCATACTTCTCAGCAATCAGCTCCCTGCACGAGTCATTGGGACTTGTGCAAAACCTTCACAACCACATTCCCAAAAGAGCAGTATTGAAACTTTTAACTTTTCTTATCCCATGTTCACCACAGGAAGTAGGTTTGCAAATATACTCCCACTTCACCAAATGAAAATTCTCTTCATTTTTCCAACCTTTCCATAGGAAATCCCTCATAGCCTTCTCTAATTTTTCTGCCACCTTCACTGGAATTGGAAAATAGATCCCTCATAGCTTCTTTGTATAGTGGCAATTCCCTTGTAGGTTTTTATTGCAGTTGAAACTTGGAACTGGTTGACCCTATCCTTTGCATCAATATACACCTTCTCATACACCCTCCAGCTAGGGGTGCTCATAAAAAGCCAAAAAACCGAAAAACCGAACCGAAAAGTGTGGTTAACCGAACCGATCGGTTTGGTATTTCTGAAAAACCAAAGGACCGGTTTGGTTTTCATTTAACCTAGAAAAAACCAACAGTTAACCGAACCGGCCGGTATGTATTTATATGTATATTATATATTTTTAATATATGTCAAATATCATCTATATTATATATAATATATTATAAATATTTTATTTATATTTATAGTATTTGTAATTAATATGCATATTTATAATATATTGTATTATATATACTTATTTATAATATATGTTATAAATATAAAAAACCAAAAAAATGAAGAGCCAAACCGGTCAACCGGTGGTATTGGTACAGAGAATTGCAAAAACCAATAGGGCCACATTCGGTTTCAAAAAATTGCCCATGGTTCACTTAATCGAGCCGTGAGAATCCCTTCCCCTATCTCTAGCTTTTACTTAGAATAAATATACCCATTACCTTCTTAAAAAATAATTGCGTCTTCCATTGGCTAGGATAGCAACCAAGAAACAGATAAGTTATCTTAGTACTTAGAGCTGTCAATGGACTTTGGAAGTCCGAAATTTGATCCAACATCCAATCTGATTTATCTCAGATTCAGATGATTTGTTTACATAATTGGATAAGATTTGGATTTTTATAATTTGCATCTGATTAACAATCGGATTGGATGTGGATTTAACTCCATCTGATCCAATTATGTTATAATGTGTATTGGTTTTAATATATAAAGTTTGTATAATTATATATAAAATATAAAAATATAAAAATATAATTATATATATTATACTACATATAAATTTATTTATATATGTAAAATAAATTCAATATTTCATATTCATGTTTGTTTATTATATATATGAGTTAATAAAAAGCAATTAACTTTTTTAATTTTTTCTTTATTTTAAAAACATGAAGTGAAGTAGGATTAATTCCAAATCTAACCGAGTCCAGACAGGATTTGAATCTGATCCAAGATTTTCAAATCCAATCGGATTTTGGGTCAGATTGGGATGTTGTCTGATCAATTTACAGCCGTATTAGTACTTGTTGGTTCAAGTTATGGCTGGCATTTCACGAGAATGTAGCATGTATCAGAGTGGGATTTTATGGTGCAGTTGGGTTTCCCGCTGAGCACTCACCCATAGATAATTGCTTCTTCAATCATTGGGGCTGCATTTTTTGGTATTAGAGATGCCTTTTCGTTTGAAAATGGTTGAACCTGTTGGTTGGACCAGTTGACCTGTCACCTAGCCATATTTCTTGGTCCTTTTCACCCCCAAATCTTTAACCTGAAAAAAAAATATGACTTGTTCAACTACCCAGTAACCCATCCGCTTGAACTGCTGAACTGCCTGACTCAGTCAGAGGGTTAGGTTTAGGCATTAATTCTTTTTTTTTTCGTTTTTGTATTTTAGCAATTTTCATCATTAACAACAATAACTCTTTTACCAAATTTATTTTATTTAATACGATATATATATACATATATATATATATATACAGAGAGAGAGATAGAGAGAGAGAGATGCCCTTTTTTTTCTGAAAATTTCTATTTTTTCTGTATTTTATATATTGTTTTATACTTTTATCATGTAATTCATGATGTTACAGGATTTGCCCAGTTGACCTGGATGGTTGAACTGCCGACTCACCACCCAGAGATGGAAAAGTGATTCCATTTTTGGGTTGGTCTTAAAAACATTGGTTCAGAGTAGCAAAATGGGGGAAAAGAAAGAATAGCAAATCCAGGTGAACATGGTTCATGACCCTGGTAACAACTTAATACTGCCGTTTTGTTTCTTGCCTTGATGCTGGCCAGAAGTTGTTACTGTTCATGCAGCACTCAAATATAGGAAAAGTTCTAATGTTAACGAATTATGATTATATTGGYTGCTTTACAAAAATTCTGCCATTTCAGCTTCCTTTTTTTTCACAGGATATTTTACTTCTTTTCTGATATTGTGTTGCTGGATCAAATTGATTTATCTGTCTGGTGCCAAACGACACCTTGAAAAAAATTGTTTAATCAGAGGATCAGTCCTGAAGATTCGTAATAGCAATTTGAATCTATTTGGTGGTCCATTCTTTTTATGAGTCCTCATTTTCTTGTTTGCATCTTGACCTGGATTGTCTAAACAATAAGCTCATTCTTGTCCTAGCTTGACCATAGCCTGAAAACTCTGAATCATAAAATGCAGTCTCGGATAATTTTGTTCTGATGTGGCTATTACTTGATCTTATGGACAGGTGTATACTGCAACCTGGAAAGAAATGAAAATGGCTCCTATAGAGTAAAAATATCTGCCAATGCTACAAAGACAGTGGCTGAGTTGAGGAAGCCTCTGGAGCAGCTAATGAAAGGGAAGACTATAAATGACGCCAGCCTCACTCAAAGTGTACTGCAGCTACTTTTCTCCAGAGATGGCATCATGCTTATCAAGTCGCTGCAGCAAGAGACAGGGACGCATATTCTGTACGATAGGCAGAACATGAATGTCAGGATATTTGGTCCAGAGGACAAAATTGCTGTTGCTGAGCGGAGGTTGGTGCAATCCCTTTTGACTCTCCATGAAAACAAGCAACTTGAAATCCACCTCCGAAGTGGGGATCTGCCACATGATCTGATGAAAGAGGTGGTTGGGAAGTTTGGATCAGATCTGCATGGGCTCAAGGAGAAGGTGCCAGGAGTTGAGCTGACACTGAACACTCGTCGTCATGTCATCTATGTCCGAGGAAAGAAAGAATTGAAGAAGAAGGTAGAAGAGATAATTTATGAGACTGCTTCAACTCTTAGACGTAGTGGGCTGGGTATACGGCCTAGTGGAGAAGACACCTGTTCCATTTGCTTGTGTGAGGTCGAAGACTGTTTCCAGTTGGAAGCCTGTGCACATGGGTTCTGCAGGTTGTGCTTGGTGGATCAGTGTGAGTCGGCCATCAAAAGCCATGATGGGTTCCCACTGTGCTGTGCGTATGAAGGGTGTCAAACCCCCATCTTGCTTGCAGACTTGAGGTGTCTTCTGTCTAGTGACAAGCTGGAGGAGCTATTCAGAGCTTCGTTGGGGGCATTTGTGGCGTCAAGTGGTGGAACTTACAGGTTTTGTCCATCTCCTGATTGTCCTGCAGTTTATAAAGTTGCTGACCCTGGAACTGCTGGTGGGCCATTTTCCTGTGGGGCATGCTATGTAGAAACATGCACCAGATGCCACTTGGAATACCACCCCTATGTTTCGTGCGAGAGATACAAGATGTTCAAGGAGGACCCAGACTCATCTCTGAAGGAGTGGTGCAAAGGTAAGGAACACGTTAAGCACTGCCCTGTATGTGGGTACACCATAGAGAAAGTGGATGGGTGCAACCACATTGAGTGCAAGTGTGGGCGGCATATCTGCTGGGTTTGTTTGGAGAGCTTCCACAGCAGTGATGACTGTTATGGACACTTGAGGTCTGTACACCTGGCTATCTATGAAGCCTAATCTATTATATGCCCCCTGTAAATATGTTGTATCGTATATGCCTGTGTATAATCATATCCACCATTACCGGTTTGTAGTTACAGATATCAGTAGATACTGACATACCTGATCTTGTCTTCCGACAAATCACATTGCATTTCAAGTTGGCACCGACACCTTGAGTTAGTTACTTATATCGTGAGCTGCGCACAATGTATCTGAACACTGGGGTGAAAGGGAGGGGGGGTCGTTTGATTACCCCAGTTGGTTGTTCCTACTCCCACCTTTTGGGTCATCAAGAAAAAGGCCTCCTTCACCTTGAACCATCTAAAAGTATGAATACATTTGCAGAAGTACTGACTAGCACGGAATCGCCATAAGATCTGACTAGAGCAAATGGAATGCTCTCCGTATTGTCAATGGCGTTGACAAGACTTTATCTTCATCCTCGTGCTTGGTTGGCAACAAGAATCGTTATATCTAACCATCAGGATTCAGGAAAGGAGTAATTTAATACCTAATGTAAATCGTACACCACCAGCAAAGCCCGAGCGTAGTGCAAATAGCAAAAGGCGTGCACCATGTCAGCTTACCCGCATCATCTTTCCTCTTTCTTCTCTTCCTTGCTCTCTGCCTGGTATGTAGCAGCTATGGCGTGCTTGTTTCTGTTCTATGACCGCAATGGAGACATCTATCTTAAGGCTCAGTTTGGAAGGAGTATAAATACAAATATGTACGGTACAAGTACATAAATGTGAAGTTTTACACTCTACATATTTGTATTTATACTCCTTCCGAACTGAGCCTAAGCAATTTCATCCAGTTAAAGTAAGGAAATAACCGTGATGACTCCTGGAGAAGTGAGTTGGTCAAACTATCTCTTTTCTGGTCATAATGTCTACTCTGCTTCCCGGAGTTTGTAACAGTTGCATGGCACTCAACAAACTAAGTTTCTCATTTTGGATACAACCTGCGATTGTTGGAAAATCATACCGTCTTCTCAACTAATCTCGCTACAGAATAGAACAAATCATAATCCCGAATTTCATTGTACCCGTCAAATTGTGCATCTTCGAAGCCTTTTAGTTGATTTTATTTTTTATCCTAGAAACCTCTGAAATGTCACGAAATATACCGGAGAGTGGAGATGACAGATGAGAGTTTTATGGTCATGTAGGAGTTGTGGTTCCCATTGTGATCATGGTACTCTTGAGTGTTTTTACAGCCCATGGAGCATTCCTGCCTGTGTTATATGGATAAGAAATACACACTTTAATAGTTGAATTATTTGGACAGATCACGGAAATGTTCAAATAACACTGGAAGGGTTTTGAAAGATCAATAGAGATGTCAAGGGAATTGGAAAGTCCAAAATCACCTGATCTGATTATTTCGACATCCAATCTGATTATCTCGGATTTGGATTTAATTTCACCTGATCTGATTATTCTATAATATTTATTGATGTTAATATATAAAATTAATATAATTACATCTAGATATATAAATATATAATTTCATATATTATCTATATCTATACTACCTATAAAAGAGTGCCTTTCTTTCTGGAATTTTCACTAGACGTTTTGTATCCTCTTTGTCTAAGCGTACAGTGGGCATATATGTCCTTTACTCCCATTTCAAAAACTGCTCACTTATAACTATATAAGGAACGGTCTATTGTCTTGAGTAGGGGGTGCAACCAAAGAAGTCGGTTTACAGGAGAATAAAATTCTATTAGAGAGGTTGTTGAGAGTTGCAGAGGAGGACAATGAGAAGTCTTTGTTGAAGCTCAAAAACCGGATTGATATAGGTATTAGGGACTTTTCTTCTTTTTTTTTTTCTTCAATTCCTTTCCCTTTTTTTGCTGATCTGAATTTTTTTCCCTTGAGCATTTAAAGTTGATGCAGAAACTTATGTAGGAAGCAAAACTTTGCCAATAATCTTCAATTTCTCTGTTAACATGCTTGAGGTGAATTAACTACATTTAATATTTTGATCACCATGTATTCATGTATAGTTTCCTTTGGCCAGTAATCTTTCATACTGCCACGTGTAACTGCACGTACATTCACTAGTATATAAAAGTTTGTATATAATAAATTAAGCATTTCATATTTATATTAATTTATTATGTATATATAATTTAAAAAAAATAAWTATTTTTTCTTGTTTTTTGAAAATGAAGTGTCATTTAAGTCAAATCAGATTCGGAATTTTCAAATCTGATCAAATTTTGGATTGGATTCAAATGCCCTTGTTTATTAATTGGATCTGTTCGGATTTTGTTGAATCCGATCCATTTACAGCCCTTTCGGATTTTGTTGAATTTTGATAGATCTCACCTGATTGGTTACCACTTTTATGAATATAAGATGTAATAAGGAGTAATACCTGAATATTGGAGTTAATGATAGAGCGTGTGTAGTTATAAGAATTATTAATATATAAAAATTAATGAGAATGAGAATGTATTAAAATAATAGGATTGCATCACTTCTCAAAAAAGAAAAAAAAAAGAGGACTGCATCGCTCAATAAACCCACAATATTATTCCGTATCAATAAATGTAGACTGATAAAAGACTTACCATTGGGAGTTCGGATTTACTGACCACAACACATGGCTACGCTCGTCCAGTGGCATATTGAAAATATTGGTGATCACAATACAACTGATATTCCATATGTGCAGCTGGGTAAATGTGGCCAGCAATGTATTATAGTCGGGAGATCTGAACTCATACCGTTGGGCATTGGCTAATAGCTATCAGTTCAACTGATATGGGCTGATATATACTGATACTCTAAGGCTATGTTTGGTTTGAAGGAAAATATAGGAAAAGGTAGAAAAACCTATACAAGATTTGTAAAGGTTTCCCTACCTTTCCCTTCATTTCCCTACTTTTTCCTTCAAACCAAAGATAGCCTAAAATGTTAATGCGGATATCATTGAACCTATGGCTGTGGGCTTCTACTATTACTGTGGAATTCTTTTCTCCTCTCCTCGAACCTCAACAGCTAGCCATCCAACGGTAGGTAACATCCATGTATTTTCTTTATTAGTAACCAATTCTGCAAACTTTAGCAGAGGAATCAACAAAATTTGGAAGAAGAGGGGACGGGGTTGTCTCAGTTCAATTTCTATTTTGATCTCCGTTCTTGACAAGTGAGGACTGAGGAGAGAGAATCCAGTGTAAAATGGGCCAATCCGAATTGCACCCCTGATTCCATTCTGACGACTCGCATGATGTAATTATTCACACGCACGACTCATGTTTCAACCACTGCTAGGTGTGATTGGAAAATGTTAAGCTGGTACGTGTGAAAATGTGGGTTTGAGTCGTTGGAACTGTATCCAGTCTATCATGATTTGGTCGAATCCAGTCCAGTCCGATGTGAGTCCATTACAAATGGATCGGGTCTAATCCAGTCTAATGAATATTTTGGATCAGTCCAATTTGTTTTAATTTAGATTAATTCTAATTCAAACCTGGTCCATTGACACTTGTATTCTTATTTTCTATCAATGGACCTGATATTGGCTCAATGCAATCCAATCCAATATAAATTCATACAAATGGACCAGGTCTAATCCAATCCAATAAATACTTTGGACCATTAAGTCTGAACAGGTCAAATCCAATATGCCTTGTTGGTCCGTCCAATTCATCCAAATTGATTTTGGTTTGGACAGGGTCCAATCCAAAACCGGTCCATTGACACCCCTACACATAGGCAAGATCAACATTGGAAAATAGGTTCTTATATTGGGATATACATGGCAATAGTGGAATTATAAGGTATACATGAATATAAAGATGTCAATGGACCAGTTTTGGATTGGACCCTGTCCAAACCAAAATCAATTTGGATGGATTGGATGGACCGACCAGGCATATTGAATTGGACCAGTGTAGACATAATGGTCCAAAGTGTTTGTTGGATTGGATTGGACCTGGTCCATCAGTAATGAATTTATATTGGATTGGGTTGGATTGAGCCAATATCAGGTCTATTGATAGAGGATAAGAATATAGGTGTCAATGGACCAGGTTTGGATTAAAACCGATCTAAATTAAAACAAATTTGAACAAATTGGATGGTCCAGATATTAAATTGGACCAGTCCAAAATGGTGTAAAATACTCAATGGCTTAGGTTGGACATAATTCATTGGATTGGATTAGACATGGTCCATCCGTAATGAATTTATATTGTATTGGACTCACATTGGACTGGACCGGATTGGACCAAATCCAGTCCAATTGACACCCCCGCATGAATATATTAGGGAAACTCCTAAGAATCCTACAAATGCATCAATGACACTAAATCTGATGCTTGAATGGCCATTAGATAATATACAAACACACACGAAACGCATATTAATAGTTCATGTGAAGTATGAATTATTGGAACACAGTTGTATGCATATTTGTATTTGCACTCTTCCCAAACTGAGCCTTGGGAATGCTAGAAAATTAGAAGAATTAACAGTTTAATATAAAGCAATATAGATTCTATTAATACTTAAAAAAATACTAATTTTAAAGTTGTCTAAAATTGGACTAAAAGTTATAAATTGAAACCTGTGTTATTTTAACATTACTATGGAGTGCGGTATAGTGGCAAGAAGCTTACATTTCACATTTCACAGAAAGAACTCAAATCTGCTCCTCACACCACCCTCACAGCACGTTGCAGCTGTGCATTCGGAAAGCAGCTAGCCATTGAACGCAAGAAAATGCTGAAGGTTAGGTCTGTTACCCACTCCACACTTCCAAGACCCCTGGTGACCAGAACCAACAATGGATAATGGTTCCTTCTATAGAGTATATCCAACCAGAGGATGAATATATTTCTGAACACTTACTTTCATTTTCATGATTAGGAAATCCATAAAGTAGGACCACACAAGGAACAAATAGAAGAAGCTAATTGATGAGAAACTAAACAGAAAATTGTGGGTTATGTAGAAAGATCTACAACTTTAATGTAATATTATGGTTATGTCTATTACTTATAAATACTTCCATCCATTCATAACGTTTCGTATTCTATAAAACAGATTTTCTTTAACAGCATGTGACTTATTCTGGTAGACTTCTGTTAGCTGGTATATAGAACTCTGTAATTCAGTGATTCTGCACAGTATAACAATTATATGTCCAATTAAAAAGAAAAAGGAAGATATCTTCAATTTTTGATAAATAAAACCTTGACTGTGAACCAGCACAAAAGCTAACTTGGATGATTCTTGTTCCTTCTCCTTTGCAGGTTCCCAGGCTAAGGATGGGAAAAGTAATTTTATCTCTTTACTGAAGGGGGACAAAATGCAATTGTTGTAGATTTTCTTGATCAAAATTTGTCATTTATCAAGAAAGGAAGGCATAGGAAAAGAGAGGGATACTTTTCAGTTCAAAAGAATATTGCATATTCAATACAGGTAAAATGACAACATTAGTAACAGATTAAAACTTTGGGCAACTCATATGCATTTATCAGTTGCCACAGATCCAAGATACAAGATTGACTTGAGTCCATAATCTAATTGTCTTAAAACGAACTGGAGGTTGTATAGCTTTTCTTATTGGAGGGTTGGGGCCGAAGTTGCTTTACCTGCGAAGAAAATAATAGTGAAGGAAGAGGAGTCTCACCTCCAAAATCCAAATGTGAATCTTCACATTTCATCAGAGTTGTCTGACAGCTCCCCATCACCATTCACCTCATTTGACATTTCTTCAACTTGGTTGCCCACTTCTGATTGTCCTTTCAAATCTCTTTTACTAAGTGCCAAACGAACTGGTCTTCCCATCAATTTCTGCAGCAATACCAAATGAGAGAGAGAGAGAGAGAGAGAGAGAGAGTTCTCTAAGTGATTGATTATTCAGAACATACCCAATTCCCAAACTGCAAGTCCATCACATGTAATCCTAAGAATTAGATTTACCTTGCCACTGAAAGCAGAAATAGCTGCCTCTGCTTCCTCCGGGGAACTGAAGGAAACGAATCCATATCCAGTGGACTTTCTGGGGTTACTCTGAAATATTACTTCTGCCGAGACAACATTACCAGTTCCGGAACCAAAGAACTCTCTAAGGTCTCTAGACCTTACCCTCCAAGACAAATTCCCAACAAACACATTATGTTTTATCACGGGCTCCGGTCGCACAGAAGGTTTCTTCTTCAATGATTTGGCATAATTCACCTTTAAGACACGTCCCTGGAATTCCTATTAAACACCCGAAAATAAAATATATTCAACGAGAAGAGGGAAGGAAAATAAACAAATCAAACACAACAGAGATATAAAGACTTAAGGCTATGTTTGGTTTGAAGGAAAAAGTAGAGAAAAGAAGGGAAAGTTGGGGAAACCTTTATAAATTTCCCTACTTTTCCCTACATTTTCCTTCAAACCAAACATAGCCTAAAGAAACGTGTCCATGACAACGTATCCGCCCCAATAACAAGAAGTCAATAACCTTACCTGCGCTTCGAGATTAGTGAGAGCTGCAAGAGCCTCCTCCTCGGAACCCATGGTAACAAATGCCAATCCTCTGTTTCTGGTTTTGTTATGCATGGAGAGCTAAATATGACAATGAAACGACAGGAACCAAATTCAGGAAATAGAAGAAAGAAAGGGAAATAGAGTAAAATAAAGAAGGAGAAATACATTGTATAATTCATTTCCTGAACCTAACCTCGACGTCTTCAACTGTCCCATGCTTCTCGAACAGGTTGCGGATATCTTCAGAAGTGCAGGTCCAGGGTACGTTCTGCGCAATCAATCTCGTTTGGATAACACTTTCACCATCGGCTCCAGATACAGGGCTTTCTACCGTAACTGTAGAAGTTGATGCTAAAGGGGAATCTTGCTGTTCGGTTGCACACGAGATAAGATTTGTTCTCCTCCTCCCTGTTGTTGATGTTTTCGTTGTGTTGGGAAGAAAGTCTAGACCAGGTCCAGGAGAAATAGACGATGTCGAGAAGGAGAGCTTCGTTTGGAAAGGTATTTGCAGCGAGAGAGCTGTTCGGCAGTGTTGGTCACCCGACAGCGTCGACGGCAGCCAAGGAAGACGAAGCGCCATCGTCGAAGAAAGGTCTATTACTATCTTCTCGTTCTCGATTTGTTTAGTTCTGACTTCTCACTTCTGAGCTGGTTTGTTCCCTCCCACTTGAACATTCGACAATAGCTCGAGTTCCCTTCACTATCTATCTATCTATCTATCTTATTCTTACAATCTATCTGTTCTGTGGCTGGATAACGTAGACCCTCTGTAGATTTTTATCTTGAAGGAAGTATTCAATGCTCCACGGCTCTATGAAGCATCAAGGGATGCGGTACTTTTGCACCGTCCACGTGTCAACTTAGGCTTATTGCAAGTTGCAACATAATATTCGGAAAAATATCATGAAAATGCATTGCTTAAACTAATATGTTGTGATTTTGAATTTGGAACCTGGACATGTTTAATAATCAACTTGATGAGAGGTGGTGTCAATCCTTATTGAGCAAATATTAGTTTCTAAACACCCCAACGCCGCTGTTGTCATGATAATAGTGGAATGGGTTTGGGCCGACCAACTTATCCAGCAAGAAAATTAATGAGCTAAAACCAACCAGRCCATTCGCCTTCCTAGTTCCTACTTCCTACACGTATGAGAGAAGATAACTGTTCATGAGAGCTTCTGTTTTTCAGCCAAATTAAAATATCAACAAAATTAGGCCAGATCTCGCTAGGCGATGAAGAGTTCAAACAATTAAGCAATAATTCACAGTCACAGTCGGAAAAGCGGATGCAATGGTCTTTCGGTCTTTCCCCACCGACTCGGCCAACCGTAGACCAGAGAGAATGGCTTGAGCTTGAGCTTCAGCAAAAAAGCTGGGAGCTAGCAGAGGTGTACGACAAATTCTGGATCTGCGTTAATAGCCCGTTCACCCTATCAGTACGACAACTATACAAGAGGATGGATCAGAGGTCTGATTCGCAAAAATTGTTTTGCAAGTTAGACAAATAAAACAGGCAAGCAAGCTGTTGGTGAAGGAGAGGGACCCTCCACATAAACATCTTAATTTTGGGAATAGCAGTAGCTCTAGCAGAGCTACTCCACACTAATTCCCACAACAAATTAGGATCGATCTACCTGCTGATATCAGCCTATAAATACCCGGCCCATTACGGTTTTCCACTCGTAGCACTAAGATCATGGGCATAGCCGCATAGGCAAGGTGGTAAGCCGAGATCTAACGGGACGGAAAACTTACCATGATCGATCAGCTGGGATGATAAAATCACTCACCTTATCAAACAATATAATCAATCATGAGGTTTTTCAAGTCCATAACTGAGGTCCCTCCTGGCCATTTCCAATCTGCCACACTAAGTACTTTGCTTTTAGGATCTGGCCAAGCAAGGATTTTGGATATTGGATAAGCCTCATAGCTCATACATTATATTGCTTCGCTAGTAATGCTAAGTTCAAGTCTCTAAACTCCAGCCCTCCCTCTTTTTTTGGGCCTACATAAGTTTCCCACCTAACCCAATTTTATTTTTCCCACACCCACCACAACTTCCTTCTTTGAATACGATCAACTTCCTCACACAATGGCTGACATAGTGTCACCGGGAGCACAGGATTAATACTTCCTTACCTGCAGCTTCCAGCCACTCGCTCTCTTAGAAACCCTATCCACCACAAAATTAAAGGTGTCCTTCTTACATCTTGCAACCTCCGGGGGGAGCCCAAGATACACACTCGGCATTCTTACTCCTGATTCTCATAAACTTTGATAAAATTCTTTCTAGTTTGGGATGGGCGTTGACACTAAAGTAAATTTCAGACTTGGAGAGACTAACCTTCTGACCCGAAGCCATTTCAAAATTCTTATGCAATGTTTGGTTTGAAGGAAAAGGTAGGAAAAGGAAAGGAAAAGTAGGAAAACCTTTACAAACCTTGTCTAGAATATAGATTTTCTTACTTTTTTTTTTCCTTTCCCTATTTTTTCCTTCAAACCAAACATGCATGGCCTTAAGGCTGGAGAGGATTTCATCACCTTCCGCTAAACACGCCTTCACAAAAATCTAGTTATCATCACCAAAAAGTAGATGGGAGAGGGTCACTTTGCCTAAACCCTCTACAAGGCTTGATAACCTAGTTTGGAGAGCCATTAATGAGGACTCTGTAAGACACCCTAGATATACATTGTTGAATCCAGTCTCTCAACTTTTTCACCAAACCCCATTTTTACCAAAGCTTCATCAAGAAAAGCCCACTCCACTCTACCATAAGCCTTTAACATGTCCAATTTAATGGCCTTTTGGATTTTTGCATGAAATGTAATAGCTCATGGGCCAACAAGATGTTATCAGAAATTTGTCTACCAGAAATGAACATACTTTGACGAGGGATAATTGATTGATCCATAATTAACCCCTTTCATCCTATTTGCTAGAATTTTTTAAATAATTTTGTTTGGAGTGTTACCTAGACTGATAGGACGAAATTGGGTTATGCTCTCCGGATTTTGAACCGGATATTAAAATTTTGTTAAGCATGTTGGGCCAAACTCTTTGATTAGCTGAACATTTTTTAACACTGGGTTATGCTCTTCGGATTTTGTTAAGCTGAACAGTTTGGAAGGAGTACAAATACAAATACATGCAAAATAAGATAAAATGTAAGGTTTTGTAATACTCTACAAATTTGTATTTATACTCTTTCCAAACGGAGCCTTTGGGATTAAGCAAATTCCACTCTTTTCAGACCTCTCCTTGGCCAAATGGATCCTCCCCCTCTTATAGGCTATAGCCACTGGGAAAAACCTCCAAGAGGTTTTGTTAAGTTGAACTCAGATGCAACAAAATCCAAAACAGCTCAGAAGGCGGCAATGGGCTTCATTGTTAGATCAGCTTCCAGTGACTTAATAGTGATAGGAGGTGGACCAATAGCCTCTTCTTCAATATCAATCTTGGAAGCGCTGGCAATCAGACGTGGTTTGGCCGATGCTATCAGATGTGGCATCAGGCAAGTTTTGATTGATTAGATTGCAAAGAAGTAATTGAAGGCATTTTAAAAGAAAATGAGGATCATTTTAGTGAGCTCTAGCCTGTTCTGTCTGATATACTTTTATTGGTTGAAACTTGAAAGGTTTCATTCAGCAGATCTCCTTCAAATAGATTACCAGGACTGCTAACTGTGCAGCTCATCAAATAGCAGCGTTCAATTCCCCTTCGCAAAGATGGAACGAGTGGAATGCTATGGCTCCTCCTCGGCTGGAGAACTTAATCAGTTTAGAAAAGTAAGTGATTGCTGTACTCTGTTGTTTTTTCAGTTTAATTTGATACAAAAAAAAAGACACTTATTCCCAATTCATAATTTCTGAATATATTTATAATTTATCCATGAGTCAAATAATCCAATCTGATGATTTAAGGTTGAACATTGTTGTAGTAGATGAACTCGAGTCGGTTTATGATTTGAATTTAGCTGCTGGCTTAATGGCAATGCATGGATCTGCCCTACACATCTTTATGCCCTAATTCATGTCGTTCCCGCCCCATTACATCACGTCCTGATCACTTGTAGATCTCTAACGATTAATAATCATGGTTTTAAAAAACGACTCGGAAATGGAACCTTTTTGGCCACCAGTTTTTGGGTTGATGGTTCGACCGTCCAATTTAAACGGATGGTATGTTCTAACAAAAAAATTAAAAAAAATAAAAATGGCCAAAAACTGTTGAATGGGTCGACAGTTCGACCGCCCGGATTAATGGGTCATTGACTGATTCAACAGTTTTTGGTTAAGGACTGGGTTTGGGATAAAATAGAACCAATTGTTTGGACGGTTATCGGGCCGAATGGTCTGACCGTCCGGGTCAATGACGGTTCAAAAACCATGCTAATAACTACGATGATTGACATTCCTGTCTAATCCTGCTTTATTAAAATATAGAAGCACCCGTATGCAACTGAGGCTCAGTTCGAAAAGAGTACAAATACAAATGTATACAAAATAATATAAAATATAAGGTTTTGTACTCTATATATTTGCACTTGTATATAAAATAATACAAAATATGAGGTTTTACACTCTACAAATTTGTACTCGTATTCCTACTGACCCTAAATACATTATTTTTTGAGGTAAATGATAAATTCAAGGAAGTCCTTTTCTTCATCCCTTATTTATTTCTTTCTACTTTCCAGGAGAAACGTATTTGATTCGTGCATAGGATTAGCCACTCAGTGCTTTCCTGAAAAAAAAAAAAACCTTAAATACAGATCCTTTTGTTTCACCCTGTTTGCTGTTCCTCATTAATGCCTCCTGGCTCATTATTGTCCAGGTCCTTTAGTTCATCCACCACTGGCTGGATAATATCTTTTACATCCTTCTCCACTTTTTCTACCTGCATTTTCACAGAAAAATTGAAAACCACTAATTTCAATTTCTACTAATTAAATAAACTTCATTAATCCATCTAAAGTTTAGATCTCTCTTTCTAATATCAAGTACTGATAACATTGCTAGTTAAGGTTGGACATTTCAACCAAAGGCTACAAGTACCAACCTTCTTTATTAAGATGGCGATCAATTATAAGATAAAATATTACAATCAATGGACGCCCATAATCTATGGTATTATACATATTTGGTAATTTCTACTTGTTGATGGAAATTCATATATAATATATGGTCGGTGCATACATCATACTTAATCTTGCTTTATTTTTTTTTTATTTTTTTTTTCACCTGCTTTTTCATATCATACATGCATCATATCTCTTATCTCTTATGTCAAGATGCCATTTTTTTTTTAATTTTCAAATTCTAACTTAAATAACGTGTCAACTTGGATTGTTTGAAASATAGGTTCTGTTAACAACTAGGAAATTTGGAAACAGGATTTTTCCGTAACGTGTACATAACAATTTCTTAGGGGGTGGGGGGTGGGTGTGTGTTAGATAACCATTTTAAGCCATCTTTACAAATAAGTATTTATTTGGGCTGTTAATCACTTATTGGTATTTGGGAAATAAACCCGAAATAAGTGCTTATTTTAAAAATAAGGGCTTATTTTTTAAGTCAAATTTTTCAGTTTTTTAAGTGCTTATACAATAAGCACTTATTTAATTTTTTTCATCCAAAATTATCTCTAATTAAATTTTAAAATACCACTTATAAAATTATACTTAGTTGAATTTTATAAAAGTGCTTTCGCAAAAATACTTTTTCAAAAGTATTTTCATAAAAGTGCTTTTACAAAAGTGATTTTATAAGTGTTTTTATAAAAGTATTTTTGTAAAAGTTCTTTCATAAAAGTACTTTCACAAAAGTGTTTTTATAAAAGCAATTTAGTAAAATTGCTTTCATAAGGGTATATTTTGAAAATTTGAAAGAAAATTAAAGACAAAATAATCACAAATGCTTATTTAAGTGCTTATTGGAGAAAAAGACTGTTAAACGTGCCAAATGCAAATAAGTATTTATTCGAATAAGCACTTATTTTTAACTTAAGCACTCCCAAACATGATGTTAGTTGAATGGTTCTTTGACATGATATCAGTAAAGGTGCAACTGAGGTTGTCTTGGGTTGGGCTTTGTTAGAATATGAAGGGGCCTGACTTGGAAACTTACACCTAATGCAGTGTAGAATCCTAAAATGGGGCACTTGACTTGCACCCATAGGTATGGGAGCTTATTCAACTAAGTGGTCTAGTGTTTGATTCTCACCACCTCCGTTATTAATTAATTAAATTTCAGCACAAAATATGGATGGGGCTGTGCTCATCTGCGCTAAAAGCCCAATGAACTTTTGCCTGAAGGGYGTGTAGAGATGAAACCTATTCAGGCCCATTTGGTGGATTCCAATTTAGAGAGACATGATACAGAATATAACATGTGATTGGTTTAACAAAAGTATGAAGTTCGTGATTATAGAATAGGTAATGGGTCCAGGCTAGATAAAAAGCTATTCATCTTTAAGCGTATGTAGCCAGTATTAAACCGGCCCCCTAAAGTCATCCATGCTTATCTGTAATAAAGTCAAGAATTATTTAACTAATGTCAATATATATCGAATATGAAAAGGTTGATACAGTTTGATAATGCTCAACACCGTCAACATCATTGATTAAAAGTAGTAGTTGCATATTGTTTATGCAATCAAATGTAGTGGAGGACTTTGGAGAACCTCCAGACTACGCAAAAGCAGAAGAAAATGAAATCAGAGAAGGAAGAATAGTCCATTTAGCGAGAGAGAGAGAGAGGGGGGGGGGGGGGGGATGGCTACAGCCAAAGTAATACCTTGTTGATGAGGTCATTTGTGATCTGGGTGTCCTTGACTATTTCTTTAGTTGCATTTCCAACAGCTGATACTACTTTCTTCAGCGGTCCACCTTCAGGAAGCTCACCCTCCACCGACTCTATAATCTCTTCTGCGTCTTGTGCAACTTTCCCTACTGCATCCACGGCCGCTTTGAACTCACCTGATCGAGATATCAGCAATCCCGATCGACAGGAAAGAAAGAAAAAAAAAATAATATTGCAAAATAGAAAAAAAGTAAAGTGATCGAATTATAATCAGAGAGGAACATGTTTGTATATATCGTTAATTACCTTCTATTCTGATTAGTTATTCCCATTTGTCCTTCCAAGCCGGTACAAGTATGGATAATGTGGATCGCAAAATCGAACATACCCTTTAAGAGATACAAAACGTAAGCTAGAGGGGAGGTTTAGGTCATTAGGTGGAAGTAATTAAATTTTCAGTGGTCTCTCTCTTACCAAGCAGGAAAAGGAGGTTTAGGTGGGAGTAGTACTGGAGATTGTGGTTGATCATTGTTGGAGGCTCGCATCATCATCATCATCTCCCTATACAAATACATATATACAATCAGGATTAGTTAAGACTCCACTCCCTATTCTCATAATTAAGAATTAATTTATCGACTGCATCAACGACTTTGAACTGCAATCTGTTTGACAACTGATCCTAATGACAAACACAAGATGCTCGAATATATAATAAATGAAAAGAAGTGAGTGGTTAATTAGTGCTCCATGAGAGGAGCGAGTGGCCTCAGTCTGGGTTCGGAAGGGGAAAGGAATGAGTAGTGAAGATTACATCTTTGTAATGCGTCTGGTGTTGACTGTCCAACTAGCTCTGGACAACTGCAAGCTTTGCTTCTCAGCTAATAAGACGTATCCATGATTAAAGCTCGAAAACGCGGAATCATGATGAGTGCTGAGAACTGTATTTTGGGATCCGCGGCGAGCACAGAAGAGGCGGTGGTTACATGAGATGGAAGAAAAGATTGAATTTAGAGGTGCAGACATGGTGGATGACTTCCAGACTAAGCACTCGCTACAAAACCTGCCTCTTGTTGTGTATATATATATGTAGATCTGGTTTGTGATAAAAGGAATCGATGGCTGACAATGACAAAGTTGAGTTTGAATTTCCTACTAATTATCTTCTCCCTCTTTTCTCCCTGCCTAACCCAATCAAATGGCCACAGCTGTCTAAACTTGTATTCCCACGTGTACAACCATAGTTGGGGCTAATCTCTATGTCATGTATTCATTGTAGGGAGTGGATCCAAAATCAAATTCGGATCTGGTCCAACAGCCATTGTAACTATACATTAGTTTGCTCATGTCGAGTATGGGATGGCAATGGGGCTGATTTGGGGAAGGTTTTGTAAATTTTATATCAAAACCTCTTTTTTAAATTTCTTAACTTGTATCCTTATCAAAGCCAATAGTAGGTTGGAGGAGGGTCGGATTTAGCCTAATACTACCCTATCCGTGTCTAGAATTATAGAATCTCAAAGCTCGCTCCCACCCCAAAATCCATCAAGCAAAAAGAACAAAAAAAAAAGACCGCCCATTGGAGCAAGGGAAGAAACCCAATAAAAATTGTTGAGATATTCCCCATATATGACTGTTGGGACCATGTACAGGACTAGATCGGGATTCCAAAAATACTAGGTTTTCGTGGGCAATCATTTCGGGAAATGTTTTATTCATCTGAATATCTTTGAAAAAACGCCGGTACAAACATCAGCCAGATTAACAATTTACAAATGCATTTTTTATGGTCATTTAAAAAATGCCGACATATGCTTTATTATGTATATGTTTGGCATCAATGCTAAGATGCAGCAGAAAAACGGTACTGCTGATGTGTGAGTTGGAAGTACCATTTTTTGGGAAAATGATGTCTTTTTTTTCTTTTATTTTTCTGTTTGAAAACGTTGCTGTTAGATTGGACGTTTCCTAGAGCAACAACACTTTCTGTTTCGTACTAATGCTCCATGTTTGTTTTTGGCATTAGTACCCATTATAGGAAGTCCACTTTGCTGCCGCACGTCCTCATTGGCAGCAATAAACTGCAAAAAGAGAAAACACCAAATTCAGCGTAATTCCAAACTACACCTTCTTGATTTTCCAAGCATGACTTGGAACATTATTTTTTATGAAAAAACAATTCCAAACAAACAGACATTTCCTGAGACCATTTTTTCCAACGCAAAACTAATATATCACCGTTTTCTGGAACAATGGCATCAATGTCAACCAGACGCTAACTAAGTTCGGATCTAATCTCAATACATGGTCACAACAACATACGAACAGGCCATTGCAGCCACGCATTACATCTCGCGAGATGTTTCCAAATTCTAAATGCATGGACAAAATGGCTTCTAAACCGATCGAACTCTCACTATACTAGCTTTAAAGATAAGTTTAACTTTTTTTTTTTTCTTTCTTTTTGGGAAAGCTTAGCTACCATTAAATTCGCTGGTGGTCATACTGTTAAAATTGTTGATGGATTAATGTCATGACGTCCAGCTGCACAAATTATAAAGCAACATTTTACTTCAACTCTAATTAAAAGAAAAAAAAAAGGGTTCGCTTTTAACATTATTAGGGTGGTCCAAACTGAAGTATCCCTCATTATATGTTGAAGAATGCCCTTTATTAGAGATATTCTGCCATAAGCTCTATGATAGATAGGGAAGAAGTAGCACTCATAGTATAGAGACAGATCATGCAAGCGTGGAGAAGATGAAGAAGAATTAAGGACGGTTTATTGAGAGAAGAGAGAGGGGGCCGGGGAGAGGGAAGTAGGAGTATCCCCTTTGGCTTTGGGAATCTCTCTCTCTCTCTCTTATTGTAAATTTATATATTATGTTTCAATTGTTAAACAAATTAATGGTGTTTTATTTATATTCTCAACATTGTTTTTAGGGATGGCATCTATAACCTCTTGGTCTTTTGGATGACAACTTTCTTCTTTTTGTTTCTTGCAGCCAATCTGGCATTGATGTCATGTTTCGATTCACAGCAATCCAATTGTTTGTTATTTGTTTAAGATTTGATGGCATATGGGTTTCTAAATTTCTAAGATACCAACTTCACTGGGTTTCTAATTTGGATGGTTGAGGGGGAGGACGTACGTGGTACGTTTAATGGATAGCGTGCTAATGGTCAGTTCGTCACAGGAGATAGGGTTTTATATGAAGAAAGGAGTACTGTTGTCATAGAAAGGAAAGTAAGATGGAGTTAAGCCTCCCTTAGTCCGTTTGGTAGAGATTATTTTTGAGTTTCTAGCATATAAGGCCAACTTTTTGCCCTGAACATAAAAGATAATATTTTTATAAAATAATTAAAACAAAGTAATTTTTTTGAAAAATATAAAGGGCAATGACATTGTTCATCATTTTCCTCTTCCTCTGCCTATGTGATTGTTTTTAATAGGTGGTTGGACAGTACACCCTGCCAGGTGCTRAGCTAGTGTGTGATAAACCGGTGACAAGCCAGGATGCAACGACGAAGCTAGTGCGATACAAGCCAAGATGCGATGATAATCAGAGTGACAAGCCAGTGCAGCTGTGATACAAGCCAGGATGCCCAGAGTGTTCTGTCGTCATTCCTATTCCCCAATTGTTAATGTCGGCATTTCCTTTGTCAATTGGCTAGGATGCGACGGTGAAGCTAGTGCGTGATAAACTGGCAACGCGCCAGACTTGCTCACTAAGATGGGCGGATAAGAGAAGAAAGAGGAATGAAAGGAACAATGGATTCGCCATGTCAATACATATTGTTCCTCTTCCTTCTCTTATTTGTGCAAAACCTAAAATGGATTCACCAAGGCTTCAAATCCAGTGTATTCTAATGAATACAGAGGCAAAGGAGGACGATGAACAGTGTCATTGCCCTTCCTTGATATTTTTCAAAAAAAAAGTTACCTTATTTTGGTTACTTTATAAAAATATTATCTTTTATTGATATTCAGGGCAAAAAAAGTTGCCCTTATCTGCTAGAAACCCTTTATTTTTAAGCACCTGTTGGAAGAAGCACTTGTTTTAAGCCGAGACTACACCAATAAGCAATTATATGCATTTGGAAAAAAATCCAAATTAACTGCTTTTTCAGAAAATAAATTTGTTTTAATTCAGTACACACTGAATAACCATGTTTTAATTCGACAAAAACATTAGAAGATGATCATTAAAAGGATATTTTTATCAAGTAAAAAATAGGGATATTTTAGTAATTTTGTTTGTAAAATAATTTATAAAAGGGTAGAATGGGTATTTAGAAGAAATTGGTGCATCGGTTTAACATTTTCCATCTAAGAAAGTGACGGAAGGGAGGTTTTTGTCAAATTTCTCAAAAGTTCAGGGGAGGTATTTGTTAAAATTAAACTAGAAGGGAGGTTTTTTGTCAAATTTTTCAAAAGTTTAGGGGAGGTATTTGTTAAAATTAAACTAGAAGGGAGGTTTTTATGATTGTCAGAAACTTTAGGGGAGGTTTTTGTATTTTACCCTTTTTTTTCAACTACTTGTCTTTCTAGCCCATCATATAATTTTTAAATTACTTATACTACCCCATTTGAAAGGAGAGATTTTTCACCTAACACTCTTAAAAGCATTTGCTAAAATGAAGACCTATGGATAAGAACTTATTTCTCCAATAACCAATCCAACAGAACCTATGGATGCAAATGGATCTGATCGAATTCAAATCAGGGTATATTCGAATCCGATCCGACATTGTTCATGTCAGATCCTATCCGATCGGATCTGATAGGACTTGATATGAATTTGAATTCTATTAGATCTGATTTGATCTGACTTGTTTTATTTAAAAATTAATAAATTATTAAAAGAAACAAATAAAATATACCAATTTAAATAAAGAAAAAACAAAAAATATGAGGATTTTTTAAATATTTATATCATATATATATATTACAAAAAAATAAATAATATAAAAAATTTATAAAAATACAATATAAATAATATATTTATAAATAAATAAATAACATATATATATATATATTTAAAAATATATAACACATCAGATTGAGTATTCTCGGATTGGATAGGCGATGATCCGAATCCGATCCAAAGATCCGACGAGGGGTGATCTGAATTCAATCAAATAAGATCAGATCGGATCATTTTGCACACCTAGGAGAACCAAGTTGTGACTACTTAAAAATTAAAGCAATTTTATTTTCCCTTAAACTTGCAGTTAAAAAAAATATTTTCCTTTAAACATATATGAAGGTGGTGGCGATTGATTGTCTTCTAAGCCACGTTCACCAATATTCTAGCATTGCCTGGCTAAAGACACTAATTAAACTCARAAGTCAAGAACCACAAGAAGGGTGGCTGTAAAGCTTTGGTTGATTTTTTTTCTCCTTAAAATGTCGTGTATGAGGATTGAGGAGAAATAGTTTCTTATGGCGATGAGGGAATCTTTGATGTTCTCTTTTTTATCTTTTTATTGTATGTATAAATAAATTACCTTTTTTTTTTTGCTAGTTGTATGCAAACAAAAACAAATTAACTGATTGGGTAGATCAGTGATTGAATTTGGACTGTTATACAATGACCCTGGCTGATTTCACCGTGGTTGGTCGCTTTTTATGGTTATGCTGCCTTCATTTTTTAATTTTTAGTAGATTTCGTCATTTTTTATAATATTTTCTCCATCAACTTTTGGTTAGCTTTGATGGTGGTTGTTTTATATCCCTTTTGTATGAATGTTTACGGTTTAGTTAATCGAATCATGAGCCTATTTTCTAAATTGAGTTGGTAGTATCGATTTTTAGAAAATTGGTAATCAAAATTGAACCGAAGTCAATCGATTAATCAGTTGATTGGTTTAGTTCATCGGTTTTTTGATTTTTTTATATTATATAGTATAAATAAAGTGTAAATATATAATAAAAAAATTAGAGGTACATATAAAATATTATATTATATATTATAAATATATAATTATATATAACGCATATATATATTCATTTATAATATATAGATAATATTTATATATAATGTACACTGATCAGTTTGGTTAACCACTTGTTTTTTATACAGGTTAATCAAAACCAAATTGATACGTTCAAATTTTCAAAAATACCAAACCGATTGATTCGATTAACTAGAATTTTTTATTCGGTTTGATTTTTTGGCTTTTCATGATTACCCCTATCCCTTTGTCTTCTTTTAGGCTCTGATTGGGAAAAATGCAGCTTACAAAAATTGACAACATATGTTTTTACATTGAATATTCGTATTTGAATAAGTTTTTGAGGTTGTGAGTTCTTTAATGGCTGAAGCTGAATTTGGATACAGGATTATACTCTTTGAATATTTATTGTTTAATTATTTTATCTATTAAGAAAACAAAATAATAAATCATTTGGTTCAGCAACTTCATCAGCTGTTATCAAGTGCCCTTTAATGGCTGGGTTTGAACAAAATAACTGATCTTGTGACCCATAAAAGAGCAAATCAAATTCAGCTAATCCTTTATGGTAAGGGCGGAGCCAAGTGTATTGGTTGGGTGGTCCTTTCGCCCCTAAACTTTTTGTCATATAGCTAGTAAGTGGAGGCTGGGTTAAAAACATAGTAAAGTGGGTCCTTGACCCTTAAGACTTGAACTGAAATGCTAAAGTTGTGTTTGGTTGCAGTGCAATTTTATTTATATAGTACAAATCCATGGGAGTGCAAATGAAAAAAATGCAAACTCACATTTAATTTTATTTTGGGTTTTACTTTATTTTGCGTTAATTTACTTCATTTATACTACAATCAAACAACATAAGCTAAAATTTGAAACAAAAATAGGTCAGAATTTACACTCAAATCATTTGCATTGCCATAGTTTTGCATCAGTGTAAATTTATTTGCATAGCAACCAGACACAGCCTAAAGATCACTCTCTAATGTTCCTCCAACTCCCAAGATAAAAAAAAAAAATGTTTATTGTTTCTTCAGGCTGTGTTTGAATGCGGTGGAAAAATCCATCGTGTAAAAGTCAGTCGATGGAAAAATCCATCGGTTTAAAACTGCCTGGACCGTTGGGAGTTTTTTAAGTAAGAATGGATGTAAAAGTACATCGATTTTATCGGTGTATCATTTACATTGATTAATGATATAAAAGTAAGCCAAAAACAGGATTACATCGATTTTCGATGTAACTTTTACATAGGAAACAAACGGCTGCAAAAGTGGACCGGATGTAGAGTTTTACACCGGTCTGCTTTTACACTAGAAACAAACAGGTGTAAATGCAAATCGATGATTGAAATTTATGTCAATTCACATTTACACTTCAATCAAACGCAGCCTTAGAAAAATCTATAATCAACTCAAACCTTTCCTCCCATTTCTCTTAAACTCTACCTCTTTTCCTCCCTATTTCATTTTCATGTTTAACTTGGCCTCCCCAAAAGAAGATTCATGGCTCCAAGCCACTGCTTTATATATGTTTCTTCCGAAAATTGTTTTGTTGAAGAAATCAGCATTTTCCAAACCGCTGAGCGTTGGAATGAAATTGTCAAGTCAATTGAGAGAGAGAAAAATGCATAACAAGAGTCTTTTAGTAACTGAGAGAGAAGATGCAATGAAATAGAAGGAAAAAATTCATTTTATCAAAAAAAAAAGAGGGGAAAAAAAACAATGAATTAAATATAACATTATTCGTTTACAAGTTACAACCACGGAGTGGCGCGACGATCTCTTAAAAAGCGGATCGATAAGGCATAGTAGTAACTTGTATACATTTTCTATTTGGTTGATTCATCGTCTTCCTTAGTGGCTACGCTTGCAAGAGTCCGGACCGGTTCAGTGGATGCTTTCTCTTCACCGTCTTCGTTGGCGGCCATGCTTGCAAGAGCCTGGACCGGTTCGATGAGTGCTTCCACATCTTTCTCCACCTCCTCTACCTGCATTATTATTTCCATGCCAAACATTAAAATACACCTCAATAACAGTGAAGAAGACTTGATCATGAACAAAATCAGGTTCCTCGCCCTCCATAAAGCTCCCACAATCAGGTCTTGTGCTCCTTCCGGTTTACGGTGGATGTTAAGGCCTCCCTCCTCTAAAACTACAATGGTTTTCAGAAACAAAGATACTTGGCCTTAATGCCTTATCATAACTTTTAGGCTGTATTTGGTTTCAAAGAAAAGGTAGGGAATTAACAACCAGCTAAAAAAAGGATAATATTATACAGCTAAAATTGAACATATATAAACCACTAATACCACTCTGGATCTGCAACAGAAAAAAGGGAATTTACTTACAGCCCAACCCAATCCATTCGCGCTAGTGATCCGTGCAACTGTATCTTAAAGGATTACTCACTTTGTTCTCATTTTTAATCGGTTTAGATAGAGGTACAATTTGGGTTGACCCAAATTAACATTTTATATTGCTTTGGGCTTGGGCCGAGTCCATTCAAATTTTGACAAAACCAATCGGAAACCCCAAGTTGCAGCACCACTATCATTTGCCGTGAACTAGACCGTCTCCTCTGTAATACAAGTAAACGTTTTTTCGTAGTAATGGTTATCCGCCACGTCATCTCACTTTTTAGCGAAATAAGACAAAGCACAAACATTTGGGTACGTGTATTACTTTGACAAGATAATGAAGCAATCCATATTTTCAACTTTCTTCCTAGTGGCGGGAAATCGGGATAAGAAGAAAGAAAAAAGAAAACCTTCTTTTTTTTTCGCTATGACCCTACATAGCAATTAGCAAATGGGTTTGTTTGTCCTTTCATTAGTGATGTGCCCAGTTTCTAAATAAAATAAGATGTGCCCAAATCAGTCCCCTATTCTACCAGGAAAATTACTTTGGCATCCTAGACTTTTTCAAGTTGCTTGGCATCCTACCTAGACCGAGTTGTGGTCAAACTCAAACCATGTACGGGTATACCTGTGTTTCTTACCGTGTTCCCAAGTTGGAGACTAAATAATAACTGAAAATAAATGCAACAAACAATAAAGTTTTCATAGAGGACCTAGTGGTGGTGGTGGTGGATAAATTATGTAACCAACGCAACTTGAGCAATAAAAAAAAAAAAAAAAAGAATTGGAAATACAACTACACAAGTGCTCAGAAGCGTTGGTCAGAAAATAATTCATGGTTGGAAAAGAGTTTTGGACTTGCTGCAACGACGCACATGGGGTGGTCAATCGGTTTTTTCTTTCTTTTTTTTTTTTTATGGATATGGTGGGTTGGGTGGCAAAATTGAAAGTTTCTTTAATTTCACGAAAACCAAATTGTAGCGCGTGAAAGAGGTTTGCTTTGATTTGGGAAATTGAGTGAGTACCTTGTCTATGAAATCTCCGGCCATTTGTGCATCCTTAGCTGCTTCCTTAGCTATGTGTTCAACGGCACAAACAGCTTCCCTGAGCTTTCCGCCCTCCGGAAGTTTATCGGCAACTTCATCGGCTACTTTCTCCACTTCCTCCGCCACTTTTTCTACCACAGTCACCACATTTTCAATGGTGTCTACCACCGTGTCCACCTCCTCTAAAACATCAAAACCAAATTCGATTTAATTAGTTTTTGAGAAACCAGAATTGAAACTGCAATGATATCTACATGTGCTAATTAAACTCTAAAGCGTGTTCCTTATTTGAAGATGTCTCAGAGAATAATGGTTTCTCAATCCTTACTTTTCAGAGTAAGCAATGGTGCCCATTTGTTCTTCAAGAAGGGTAGAACTATCGTTACCAGAATTCCAAAAATCCAGCTTCTCCTGAAAGATTTTAACAGTATAGTAGTTTAACCTGTTGTTAGCGAAATGGGATCCGGCCAGAACATATATCCTCGTCTCTTTATCAACGCAAAAGGATCATTATAGTAGCAGATTATAATTACCAAGAGTTCGAAGGGGATCCGCTCGGTTGACCATTGTTACTGTTGTATACAGTCACATCCCTACATGGATTGGCACCATCAACTGTTAACAATTAATAAAGCCTGAAGAAATTCTCCATTATCTGAAGCAAAACGATCAATTGCAAGAATATCAAGGCCAAACTATTTTAACTAGTTTCAGCTTCTAGCTGATATATATAACTCTGAACATACAGCAACCAATGGTCATTTAGCAACCAGCTCATGCAATGTAATGGTCGCTAGGGGTTTCTTACTGAAACCCACGTCGGCTGATTGACTCTGCAGCCCGACTGAGAAAAAGCAAAAGCAAAGAGGATGGTTAATTTCAAAAAGGATTACATCTTCGTAGTGGTTTTACTAAGTTCTCTGCTTCTGATGCGGAGTGACGGCAAGCCCCGATTTAGCAGGAAACTTTGATGACTACCTTTGGTTGCTGAGCTTCCCAGAAGACGATTGGGACTGGGAACAGCATCCCAAGATCCACGGCGAGGAGTGCCTAAACGGAGGCTACTCAGGTCGCGAGACATGATCGTAGTTGTCGCATACATAGTCTATAGGGCCGACCTGAAATTCTGAACAACACTGCCACTGCAATAAGCCTCCTCAAGCTCTGTGAGATTCGCCCAATTCTCTGAATCAGATTCAAGTTTCTTTACGGAGAGGTAGACAGCTGTAGGAAACGATGGGTGTAGAGGATCGCTCATGGTCATGGTATATATAAGGGGACCCGAGAGGCCTGAACAATATTCATTTTTCTAGTGCCAAAAAAAAAAGCATTTTTCAAAGTGTTACGGAACAGAGATGGCCCCTTTCGTACATGGCTGAACGAAAGAGCCTATCAATTACACGTTTGGAAAAGTCAAAATTTTAACACTATTCTCAGCCGCCGCGTTATTTCTTTGTTGATTTTAAAAATTTAAAATTAATTGACTAGTCAGGATTCTGGAAGAATTTTCCTACGGTTTGATTAATAAAATTAGGGTTAATGCTAGTTTGTGGAAATAGTATTCATTACCTACCTACAATATGACATGAACTGTGAGCCACATAAACCACCTTTGTGTTGGCTTCCACTATATGACCTCAGTTCCCGTTAAGTGAAGTATGAGGTTTCTCCCTTTTCTTTTGAAAATTTAGGTGCCGTTTGGCATATTTTTATATCTGATTTTTCAGTTAAATTGGTCTATTCCTATTTGATACACGAAAGATCTAGCCTCCAAAAGACACGGTGCTGAAAAGACATGCAAAGTCCATTTTGGGCTGATTTTGTGAAGCTTCCCACATCTTTCATGTTTTAATCTCACACGAAAATGTTCGAAACGACACATGGAAAGGCACGCATCAGCCAAACGGTCTTTGGACTGCCCAGATCTTATATCAAAAACTCAGTGTGTCTATTGACTGTCAGAGCTACAAGAAGATATTCTCAAAAAAATTTGCCAAACAGGCCCTTACCTTTTCACACAATATTGGACCGGGTAAAAGACTTTAAACTTCCCTGAAACTCTGGAAGTTTATGTTAAGCACTAATAGTACTCCTCACTTTTTGAAATGGATTAAGACCTCCCTTATTCCGTGATGCCATCCAACAAAAATACATCATCCCATCATATGTGTTAATTGAATCTGGCCCACAAGTTTTGGAACTGGACTTTTTATTGATCGAGTTCTAGTTTAAACAACTAATTGAGTTTATTTTGAGGTTGGAACATGATTAGAATTGAATTCAAATTAAGCCTAATCAAACTTGGGTGCAAACTATTCTGTTAAAGGTCAATCCGATTGCAGCCCTATTAATTAGAAAACGTATTTTTTAATTTGAAAATAGGTATTTTCATTTTTATTTTAACTTTGAAGTAAAGGTACATCTCTGTTAATGGATGTTCACAATTCACCTTCTTGAAATTTTGTGGAGATAACTTAAGAATGTTTTATGTAATGTGAAAGTACTCTATTTTTATCCCAAAGTGTTATACTATTGAGTATAGCAATGCGAAATATAATTCTTGCAAATAAAAAAAAAAAAAAAGTAATAAAACTAAAAAGAGTGATTAGAAAAGAAATCATAGGAAGGAGCTTACAAGTAACCCTAATAGATAATAAAATGAGTATGCATAAAAGACCATTTACTGCCAAGGTTCAAAACATTGATATACTTTTTATTTTTTATTATGACGTTTCTGGGTTAGGTAATACAAGAGTAGCAGCGCCTATTAAACACAAAGATCCTCCTCATCCACATCACGTGTAAGAAAAATGAAATATTACAAGTTGAAGGGGTAGTAAGGAGTTGAAACAAACGGAAAAAGAGTTGAATGTAATTAAATAATAATTCTAGTGCCTGCAATATGACATTGAATCTAACAGAATGACAAGACACATGAAATCCCGTATGATTGGGAAAAACTGAAAAAAGGTATATATAGATAGATGATAGTGATTTTTTCCATTAAATGATCTTACATGATCCAATTCCAACAATATGATTATGTGGCTTCCGCTTCCGGTGAGAAATTGAGAATATGGAAGTTCTCCATCACCGGCGTCCACTTGGTATTTTCATTTCTAATTCTAAATAGTACAGCGTCGTACGTGGTCAATCGTGAAATTACGAAATCAAGGAAATACGTTGGATTGTGCACTTTGAAAACTAAAAGTCATCAAAGCCTTGTTTGAATTTTTGTGTCAAATATTTTTGAAAGAAAATTGAAACTCAGAATAAGATTTATCCATATATAAAAATATCTTTTTTAAAATATAGAGATCTGAAACGCCAACCACTCCACCTAATTTTATAACTAGGACTTTTGCAACTTGCAAATTTTATTTTTTATCTTACAAATTTTTAATAGGAAAATGACCTGAAAGATTTGTGACTTCAAACGCCAACCCAGGTCCAGGTGCAGGCCTCCATTACAATTACAATAAGCAGGTTGGCACTTTGCAGAGAACTGGTCTTATTTGAATACCAAGTTTCAAGTTCACATCGGCCACATCAGCGCTCCACAGGAGGTGGTGCCCCACAGCACATCCCAACGAGTTCGCATCATCCTATGAACCCTTAAACCCGTCAATAAAAATAGAACATGTCTTCAGCCGTTAGCTGAAAGAAATCTGGTTGAACCACCCACAAAAGGATAAAAAGATAATGTGTGCTTTGGATGTTACATTCGTTGTCCAAAAGGCGCACGCCTGTTGGTTGAGAAGAACGAGATTCCCGTCTGTGCCAATTGATACAACTCTCGATGAATTTGGAATCGGGATGTTCCTGTTTGCGAATTGCGACCCATACTATTGTTTTAATCGGGATTTTCTTATACCATGCATATGCCCACATATCTGTATTTTGAACTCCCGGGTCCATCGGTTGATACAAGGGTTCGGTCGTCTTTGAGTGACAGATTCAGAGTTATGGTGTCGGCTGCGATGGAAATTTCTGAGATCAAAGATCAGTGAAGTAATCATGAAAACGAAGTAGAGACGAAGACGACCGTTCATTTCTCTTCCTGCTCTTCTCCTTATTCTTCTTCCCCTTTTCTCCTGAGTTTCGATTCCAGCCATGGTCACGGAAATGAAGGAAAATGAGAGTGTCCATGCGAACACTGAAGTCAAGCTCATGCACCAGGCAATCCAGCAACTTCTAAAGAAGAACAGAGTAGAGTGGCAGAAAAAGAAGAGAGTAAATGGCAAAAAAGTAGACCAATAGAAATCTGCCGACAATAGCTTGGTCACAACAGCATGTATTGGAGTACTTCTGGGGACACCATTCAGACTTTAGAGGATTGTTGTCAACAGAAATGAGAGAAGAAAATGGGAAAATAAGAAGATGGAGAGGAGGAGGAGGAATAGAATAAGAAGAAGAATGAAAGTGCCATCGGTCGCCGGTTTATTCCTAATGCTGAGCATCAATTGCTGTGATCTCGCCGGTGGTCTGACAGGATGTCGAGAGACGGTGGTGGGAGCCGGGAGGATTACGAATGAGAGAGGGAAGCTAGTATTTGGGTTTTGTCATTTTTTGTCTTGTAGTGGTTGGCTCAATTAGTTGGAATAAGCTCTTAAATCCTCATTAATAGAATAAAAATGACGTATTTGTTTTTCATTTGCAGATGCACACCTCCCCTGAACCGGTGGGTTCACAGGATGTTTGTATTGGAAAGTGGAAACATCTACCAATGGCAAGCACTAGAAATGTTGTCAATGCACACTGAGATGTGCATGTGGGGGCACGCCTCCCTTTGGGTGGCTGATGCCATCTTCTACCAAGAAGAAAAGAGTACCAAGTCACTGTAGCGCATAGACTGACTACTAGTGGATGGACTGGACTGGACTCCTTTTTCATTAGTTTGTACTTTGTAAGATCCTCAATACTCGGTTGGATACGGGTTTAGATGGACTCCCCACCAAATGCATCCAACAGATGTTGGTGCCTCACATGCACATCCAACCATGCATTAAGAATATCTATCGTATTTATCATCGAAAGATGTTTTCAATGCACGCTGTATGTACATGTATGAGGTGAACTCAGTGGGGTGTGGGGAGCCTAAATGGAGGAATAACCTGGGATGCATTATCTTGAGGCGAGGGGCATGATCCATTCAGCTTTGGTGGCGAGAAAATACTCAAATAAAACTTGGTATTAAAAATCAAAACTGAGCAAACGATTTTAACTTTTTAATCAAACGAGGGAAACTACATGTTGGTATTGTGTATCATGGCTTTCAGCCGCCAACAGAGAGAAGAAGAAATATAATAATAATAATAATTAAAAAATAAGATGCCATGATCAACTACTTATATGTCCACCATCTTCGTCTACGCCCTTGGCTCCTCCCTTATGGACAAAGGGCTCAATGATAGTATCCAACTCCTGCTTCAATTCGTCGGCCTACATTTGAATGAAGAAATAAAACATCAGAAGCTTTTGACCATATATGCTCACCATCTTTAAATCATCAGTGTGATCAATGTTAATAACTTAATATGGTAGTACATTTGGTAACCGGATCTGTTTCTCACATGCACGTCCACCGTGCATTAAGAACACCTCTCATAAATAATAACTTAAAAATACGAAAAATGTTGACAATACATGGTAGGATGTTCGTGTGAGGAGCAGATCCGGCCTTGTCCATTTGAAGGATCGACGAATCAGATACTAAATCATGTATCTGTACGAGGTACCAAATAAAAAGTGACCTAAGGCCTATCCATTGTCAAGGCTCAAGGCCCCCGGTCCACTTGTATTAGTTTGGATCAAAATGGATCAGAAGAGTCATGGGTGGGAGGGACCGGGACCGGGACCGGGACCGGGAGTAAGTGAGTAACCGAACCAAATCCTCTTTCGCCCGCCAGCTTTTAGGGCTGTCAAAAATCCGTCCTGTTAAACGCCCAAATGGATCCAATCCTATTATGGGGTTTTGATCTGTATTGGGTCCCGATAATTAGTAGGGTCCAAACCCTATTAACACCCGACTGATTATCTAAGTATATATACATGTATTGCATGCATATATTACAAATGTATTTATTATACATGCTTCTTAACCCTATGAAATATTATATGATATCTACGGATCTACCTCTTATGTCATGTTCTTTTTCAGTGACAACAACACACAAGCAAGAAGCTTTTCAATGAGTCCTTGCCCTCTCTTATCTACTTGTGCGATTAAAGGGCTACGGATGAGAGCAAATAAACAAAGAGAAATTTGAAATACAATTTTCTTTCTTTTCTGTTTGGTCGCTAAATGTGCCATTTCTATCAGCGGCGACTTGTTTATCAAGAGTTTAAGTGCACGATAAGGACCATCGGAAAAAGTGCAGGATAAATTTTCTGTTCATTCATTCTTTTCTAGAGTACGAACTACGCTTAAAAATAAGAATACAAATGGATCGGATCTGATTCGACTCGGAGTATATTTGAATCTGATCCGATATTGTTTATATCAGATCTGATCCAACCTGAAGATTCGACCAGATCTGATACCATTCGAAGATTTGATCAGATCTGATAAGTTTTGATTTGAATTTGAATTTTATGGATAAGTTGAATTTTCGGATCCGATCTGATCTGATTTGTTTTTTTTTTTTTTAAATTTAATAAACTATTAAAAGAAAAATAAAATATACTAACTTAAATAAAATAAAAACTAAAAATACAAGTATTTTTAATTATTTTCATCATATGTTATATATATTTTTTTTATAAAAAATAAAAAATATAATAATTTTATAAAAATATATTTATAAATAAATAAATAACATATATATATATATATATATTTATATTTATATTTATAAATATATAATACATATCAAATAAGATCTTCTCGGATCCGATAGGGGTGATCGGAATCCAATCCAATTTCTGATCCTATTATTCGATCCGAAGATCCAAGGGATTATACAAATTCGACCAAATAAGATCGAATCTCGGCTAAAATCATTTGCACCCCGACTTGAAAATATTTGACGTTTGTGTCGTTCTTACTTAATTTGATAATTTCTACTCAGAAAGCATAGGTTAAGATAAGTGCAGTTGGCTAGGATACCTGGTGAACGATGTCCTGCGCTAATTGAGCATCCTTAGCTGTTTCCTTGGACACACGTTCTACCAACAAAGCTGCTTCCTTAAGCTTTCCATCGTGGGGGATTATATCGGCCACCTCTGCAGAAACTTTCTCCGCCACACTGGCAACCTTTTCTACAGCCCGCGCGACGTTTTCAACCCTCTCGGCAACCATTTCCACCTCATCTTTAAAAAACCCAAAACTAAAGCAGCTTTAACGTAACTGAACAATATAATGCGGCCAGAAACAGACACTAGTTAACCAGGAAATATTTCTTAGAAGTCGACTCCTTTTCATTATGCGTACCTTCCAATCTTAGCAAATTCTCCCATTTGTGTTTCCAGAATGGTAGAAATAGAGATAATATCGAACCCAAGACCCACTTTGCCCTGCGTGAAATTAATATCATGTGTGTCGCTAAGCAAACCAATTCAATTATTAACAGACTTATGATTAATTATGTAATTAGCAATATATATACATTACCAAGATGAAAAACTGGTTCTAGAAGAAGGAGGTGGCACCGGCGGTTTGACATCGTCGACGTTATCCTTCACCACCCTAAAGAAGTGTTAAGAAATCCAAATAACAAATTAGAACTAAAGAAAGACAATACTATCAAACTTGAAGAAATTATACCAGCGGACTGACTGACAAGGGACGAAGGAAGTTTTTTTTTTTCTATATAATTATGATTAGTATTCCAAGGGCGATGATTTAAGCGATCAGCATTACTGGTGGTTCGGTGGCCATCGCTGAGTGACCATCCCCAATCCCCATCCCGTATTTGGGTCGCATGAGAAGTGGAGAAGGGTAATTACATTTTTGTGTCTGGACTAGTATGGAGTCGACTATGACTAACAGAAAGAAACTTCAATCCATGATTGATGGGAGCACCATGTAAATGATTGCGCGTCGAGATATCTGGAAGGTGGTCGGAAGAGAAGGCTCCGATCTGAGATCTATAGCGAGTAATTAGCCGAAGGAAGCTGCGCAAGTTGTAAGAAGGGATTGGTCTTCTCATAGACATCTTGTACAAATTTTGGCAATGGCAAATATTCAGATTCAGCTAAAAGAAGCATCATAAATATATACTTGTCCTCCTTCCTCGGTCTCTAGCTTATATGAAACTCCTCTGGTTTCCAAATGAGAAAGAGAAACAGGGTTAGGTTGGTAGCCCTAGATGTTCTTGCTCTCAAGACGGACGGATGGTTGAAGCGTCTACTGGTGAAATTACGTGTTCCAGTGTTCCAGACGTAGCGCTCTCATCTCTATAAACAAACATTCAAAATCTTTCCAGCACGCCAAGGGAAGACGCATTTACGCCATCTCATTCAAAATCTTTACAAACATTTAAAACCTTTTCAAATTATAAGCACTTCTTTTCTATATTCATTTCTCATTTGAATGAGGCCCGGTCTCGTATTCGGGTAGATGAAAAACCCGTAACGGTTCCTACAAATTCATATGTTAACTAATCCCTATGTGACAGGTGTTCCATTCATTATACATGTGTAAGAATCCGTTCATGTGAGAGGAGAGTAATGTAACTGAGTTTTATGTCCTGTCGTCCTAGACATCTGTCACATCGTAAGTGGTTAATGGGTCGTGTAGGAAATCCGGTCTTTTAGCGGGTAATTAACATGAACTGGAGACTTTTGGATTAAGCTACCTTTGGAAAATGGAAAGCGTGATGATTGATGAAAAGTTAAAAAAAAACGGATCTGTCGGACCGAACCTTGTCAAGATTTATGCAACTATGCGTGATGATTGATGACAAATCACCAAGCTGATGCAGTGATGCACGCAATGAAAAAAGAAAACAAACAAGCTTTACTTGATAATATGGATGATATCGTGGGTTTAGCTAGCAGTGTCAATGGACCGGATTTGGATTTTTGATCCATCCGAATTAAAATGGACCAATAATATATATGGAATTGGATCAGTTTAAATTTAATGGTTCAAAGTATATTTTTATTGGATTGGATTGGATTAATTTGGTCTATGGATTTATATTGAACTAGGTTCAATTGAACCAATATATAAGAGTACAGGTGTCACTAAACCATATTTGTGTGTTACATTCAATTTAAATTAAAACTAATTTGAACAAATTAGACGGTCTAAAGATTGAATTGGACCAGTCCATAATGATCCAAATTATTTATCAGGTTGAATTGGATGTGATCCATCTGTGATTGACTCATATTGGACTGCATTGGGTTGAACCAATATCTGGTCTATTGACAGTCTTATGCTTAGCAAGGCCAAACCAGAATAGGAATCTAACCAAGCGAAGATTATTTTTTGAGCATGGACCCCGTTCATTTAGCTGAGTTAGGAAATTAAGGAAGTGCTCATCAACATGAATTGCTTTTTCTTGTCGTGAATTCCAAAAACAAAATAGAACCATCTAGTATAAAAATAATTTTTTTTTAACAAAAACATGAAAAACATGTTTTTTTTTTTATGCAAACGTGTATTTTGTATCACAGCTGAAAGCTCAAAAGCAAAAATTTATATCTAAATAGCTAGGTTCAATTTGAAAGGAGTACAAATACAAATATATATAAAATAATACAAAATAAGAGACTTTACACTCTACGTATTTGTATTTGTATTTGTACTCATTCCAAACTGAGCATTAATTGCAACTATATAAGATGTTTATATCCAAAGCAAAAGCAAAACTTTTAATGAATGATTGCTTACTGTAATAAGGAAAAAGAGTAGTATTTGAAGTTTTCTCTCCATGATGGGAACAGAAAATAAAGGAAAGCTCTTAGAAATTTTTTTTTTTTTAATTTTTTCTTTTTGGTAATTGAAAGCTCTTAGAATTCATGCAATCGTGCGATCCCTATGGGCTATGGCTTCATATTATGTCTCAGGACTAAAGTTTCCATTGGTTTAAGTTAACGTAAAGGATGAATATTCTAAATTTACAGTCGCTTTGATAGTTTGGCAATTGGCATATATGACAAAACCAGTGATAGTTAAAGACACATGAAACTTGTAATCGCTATTTCTCTTTTGAAAACATTGAAATTAAACTATTCAATTTTTTGACGAAAGTGCTTCTATCATGTCTAAAGATAACAGATGTTGCGCAAAACGGAGGTTTCTAATTCCACCAAGGGAATATTATTTCTAAAGCTTCTATGGTAACAATTGTTGCTGATAGCTAGTGATGAAGTAATTTGGTCCTCCAATGAAATCATGATATATGGCATTGCAGAATAAGAGAGTAACATCTTGGCATCACGTAAACAGATCCTAGAAGCATTTCAGACACTTCACAACCACTTTGATGACCTCGGCACTACTCTGGTAGGTCGAATTCTCAACAACCAGGCAAGACCTCAGGTCGGCGTGAGAGGTGACATGCTTCCGTCGATCTTACCTAACTTCGGTTAGCGGCCTGCCTGACGTGCCGGGCGACCTCACCCTTATGAGATCTCTCAAGGACTAATTTTCCTTTCATACGAGGATTCTCATAATCCGCGTGTGTTACTTCTTTTAGTGATTCATTTAACCAACGTGGTACTGGTGACATCATCATTTAGCGTGCGCACTTTTATTAGACCCACGTGGTGCCAATGTTCAAAATATAGATACGCCAATAGGGGTGTATCGAGTGAATTGATACACATTTTGGAGCCCTTTTTTTTATTTTTCGCAACTGGTTCAAAGGGGCCAGTTTAGGTCTCCTCTACCCCCTGAACCGGTCAGACCTCTAATACACCCACTGTAGGGGCATATCGGAAGGGTCCCGAAATGATACATATTTACCAATACGGGCCGATACTTTGAACTTTGTGTGGCGCCTTATCACACACGTAATTAAAGATGCACGTGTAACCGATATTTGTTCCCGGTCTGCAATGATCCACGATTTTGTAATAGTCTCAAATTCATCGCAATTCCGTGTGCATCTGAAGTTCATCACAAAACCGCGCACCTAAAGTTCATCGTGACTCGTCTTGAGTACGAATTTGTCTCAATCGTGCGATAAGTTATACATTCATCACAGTCGTTTAATGGATTATAAACTTATCATAGGTAGCTAATGAGTTATAAACTCATCGCAAGAGTCCATGGGATACTAATTCGATATCCTTTGTATTCTGATAGTCTAAACGATCACTATATAACCTACATATGACTTAGAGAAAAGTATCAAACATGAATATAATAAAAAATATATCATGAATTAAATAGATGCAAGTAAATATACGAAATCAAATTTATCATCATTCATATTTCATATAGAATTCGTAAAATTAAGTCGAGCTTTAATTTCAGGGGACCCATTCAATAATTTGAACTCAGATTCATTTGGTGAAATGAGTTGTGGTTTATGAATCATGTTAAGAAAGCAGAAAAGCATAGAGAAAACAAGTTGTTAATTGGAAGAATCCCAATCAAGCTACAAGACTATCCTCTCTTGACACTATAAACCACTATAACCCCAAGGAACTGACCCACCTTGGACACTTGCAACCATTGGACCTGAATTTAAGACAAGAAAGAGGTCGTGACACATCAAATGTGTATCTCATTTCTTGTGCTGTTGGGCTTTGAATGAGAACACAAATAAGAAGACACCGTAATCCTCCCCTGATGTTTCTGACAATCAGAAAGACCTCTCGTGAAGTTTCATTTTAATAAAATCTTCCCCCGTAGTTTTGAAAAACTCTGCAACTACGTCGCTTTCATCATTATTCCAGCCAGAAAACGTTGGTCTAATGCATTAATTGTTTTGAAAATATCCATTTTAACATTATTATGAAAACAATAATGCTTTTTTCTTAATAATGAATTGAGATAATGATGGAAAGGAGATAATTAGGGGTGGATTTGAACTGAGCCGAGTCGAATAGTATGAGGCTTGAACTTGGCTCGCCAAGGTACTACAAGGCTCGAGCTCAAGCTCTGGAGTCAAAAAATTTAAAAGCTCGAACTCAGTTTGGTTCAAATTCGATTTGAAGAAAATGTTTTATAAAAATAAAAAAATTATATATAAAAATATTTTTTATTTAATATTTAAAAAATTAATAATTATAACATTTTTATTAAATATATTATTTTCTATAATTTTATTATATAAGTGGTGAAGAGTTCGGATCGAGTTCAGACAAGTACAAGAGGGGAGATTTTTATATTTGACCCTATTCAAAATGATGTGAATGTGAGGAATCAAATTGTCATTATCATGCCATTAAATGCTGGTGGGGTGTATTGTGTGTGACTAATTAATTTCGCTGCTTTGAACAGTTGTTGCATTGCCGTCGAAGAACAAACATTTTGCGATGGACAATCTAGCGAGAGAAATAATCAGGCTACTTTTATCTGGCCCGGGCAGAAACATGAACATCGAGACGGAGGGAATTAAAGTGGGAGGGGAAGCAGAGAACCAAAAAAAGAAGTCATTTTTAAGATGGGGGTGGGGGTGGGGGTGGGGGTGATGGTGAAAATTGAAAATTCCCAACCAAGCAAGACTTCTAACATTAATTTGCGCAAGAAAACTCAAAGGTGTCATTATTTTGTCATTATGAACGGGGTGGACGTGTCCAAAATGAAATATCCCTTAAATCTTGAAGTGGAGGCACCGGCTGGTTGTAAGGTCTTTCTGCTGGTTGTAGGGAAGATTTGGGATTGAATCCCGACTGCAATTGGATTGGAGGATGAATTACCTACTTAGCCCCGGTTGTATAGCCCTTGAAGTAAAAAAAAAAGGTGCAGAGATCTTTCATCTAACCAAGGTTTAAAGTATCAATATGCATCAGTTTGTATTAGTTGATATATATCATATTGGGAGCTTTTTGTATGCCCTTATAAAAGGTGTATTGAGGTTTTGATCGGTTTAAGAGATGAATGAACCTTAAACCGACCCCTCTGAACCAGATTTTAAAAAAAAAACTAAAAGAAAAACACTACCGATACAGCCCAATATGCTTCTAACGGGATATCGGGCATATCAATATTTTGAACCTTAAACCTAACCATTACAGTAGGAACTTGCATACATGACCCTTTGGTTGACCTTCTATTTGAACTTTCTAATTAAATTAAGCTCATGACTGGTTTCTAGGGTAAAATGGTTTGGTTTGATGATTTGATCTGAGACCTATTCCAAATTAGACCAAAACGGACCATGAACAACCCTTAGCCATACCCGCATACCCATCAAGAGTGCAAAGCTTGCTTAAAATTTTCAGTTATCAACAAATTGTAAAGATTAAAATCTGTGTTCTCAGTTGGGACTTTTTAAACTTTTTTTTTAAAGCCTTCACAAAACAACTTACTCTGAATATAAAAAGCCAACGGATCTCATTATCTAATTACTCCTTGGAGGGTATAGAGTCGAGCCTCGTCCATTTGTATTTGTATAACAAGTGGGAATGCAAGTTGCAAAAACTGAGATTTTTTTTTCACTGCACGCTATGATTTTAGTCCAAAGAGAAACTCATATAGATGTTTCTTTAAAGGTAACCATACAATGCTCCTAACTGGGGTCCAGCGTCAATTATGACAGTGTTTTCGAACCGTCTTTGATCTGGACGGTCAGACTATTTGGCGTGGAAACTGTTCAAGCATTCAATTACGTTTTATCATGTTTTTTTGGCCAAAATCCATTGGCTTGATCGATGATTCATTAGCCTGGGTGGGTCAAACTATCGGTTGGTTCGATCTGAACAATGTTTTTGTCATTTTTTTAATCACTATTTTTATTTTTTAGAGAAAATTTCAGATCAGTACCTTGTAATTTGGTTCGAGTGACAATTTGGTCATCAAATCAAATGTCACTTAACAGCTGATTAACAGACTGATTAACAGGATTGTCACATTTTGAAAGTTTGAATACTAAATTGTTGCATTTTAAAATTCGAAAACGAAATTATCACTTGAGCCAAAGTACTTGAAAACTTTCCCTATTCTTTAATTTGAAATGAGCTGCTCGTTCAAATCAAACAATCAAACCGCTTACTCCAAAACCAGTAGTCAAAATGATTCTGATTTCAAGCTGTTTTTAAAACATTGGAACCATAGACGTCTCTATTGGTATTCCGGTTCTCCTTTTAGGGGTTATCAGGAAAGAGAACCCAATACCTCTTGGTGGATCATCTGTCCGACGTCTCCGCTTTGAAACAGAACAATTAGAATTAGGCTTAGTTGACAGGAACGTGTATTATTCATATAGGAGACATTTTAATTGAGAAGATACTTCGACTTGATGCGAAGAAAATGAAAAGGTTTATCTATTTTATTAGTTATTTAATTAAACTAATGGCTCATTATTAGAGTAGATAACATAACAACAACAACTTTTTCATTGAACGTGTATGTTTTGGATTTTTCAATGAAAATTTTTGTTAATCTAAACTACTTTTTCCTTCCCTTTCCTATCTTTTCTCAGCCTTAACGAAAATATAAAAGTGCATGATAATTTTTTGAATTTGGATTTCATCCTTCAAAATACATATTTATGGTCATTAAGCCGTGGATTGGAAATATCTCTTCATGAATAAAAAATACAAATATAAAAATAATTTCAATGCACGACTGCAAGGGCTGACGTGTAAAAATGGATTTCTTGAGGCTTAAATCCAAATTCAACATTTTCTTGAGGCAAATTTATGGGGTGAAGAGGGTACAGATGGGAAATGGGATTCAATCAGAAGCCGGTGGGTAGTGGGTACTACCCATTAGAATGAGCATTTTGCTATGATACTGAGTGAAAATCACAGATTTTGTTAAGTTTGGAAACAGTATAAATATAAATATATAGAGTATAAAACCTCTTATTTTATATATATTTATATTTATACTCTTTTCAAACTGAACTGAACCCTCAATTTTCTCTGTCCCTCTTATTTTGTACTGGATCAAATACAAAAAAAAAAAAAGTAAAAGAAAGGGACTTTTCTAGGATTCCTCTTAAATCATAGGACCCTTAAAAAGAGACGGTACATGGCAAAGGTTGAACACGGTTTCACCCTCTACCCATCAAAAAGCAGAAGAATAATACGGTCTTAACTTGTCTGTAGTGTAAACTTCTTTTGTTTTGCTCCTTTATTTCAATTTTATATTTTCTTCATGACCGAAAACAGCTTTAGAAGAATCCAGTGCCACACTGGATTGGTTCGATTGGAGGCTTGGAGATCGCCATTTCAACAATTCAACACCCCTCTATTTGCCCACATCTTCTTCCACGTAGGAAGATGCGGGCAAGGCCACTGAGTGCCAACTAGTCAAGAGAAAATACCCAGAAGGCCAGAACTATCCCTAGGAGAGAAGTAGTTGTAGTTGGGGTGGGGCCGTGGGGGTGGACCATGGTTTTAAAATAGTGGGGTCTGTCTATTCCGACAGATCTATCCAGAACTGGGCTTTATATGATATCAACGGCTTTGATAAACGATCAGTCATCAATATTCTGTAAATCTAATCTCCACAGAGCTTATACAAACTGAAAATCTGTATGCCACTACACCATTCATTGGCTTGGCTTGGTATGGTTGTTTCTTCTCTACCTTCGTTAGTCTTAGTCAATGTGTTGAAAGCCAGCCATATGAGATGATATGACATGAAAAAAAAAGGAGACCAAATTAACAAATAGATGCAGAGAAGAAGCAAGCCACTTGCTGTTCTCTCTTCTTCCAACACCAGGTAACCTTTTCCTCCCCCTTCTTCTCTATGTCTAATGGCGTTTCATCATAGACGGTTGTTTAGTTCAGATTCAAATGAAACAGAATACAGTTTTTGTTTTCATTTGTGTAAGTTAATGTATCATTGTTCAGTGATCTGTGCGGAGAACTGTTCTGACTGCCCTCCTTATTCACCTTTCGATTCTCCACCACCTCCTTCTTCTATCTCGCATATCTCACCGCCTGTGATCATCCTGGTCGCCATCCTTGCCAGTACTTTCCTTCTCATTAGCTACTATGCCATTATTGCCAAATATTGTTTAAGCTGGAACACCCGGTCAAGGAGACCACCACCACCACCACCACCTGAATCGGACAATACCCATGAAGATTTTATTGATGAAAATCATGGCCCCATCTTGGACAATCCCATCTGGTATATTACCACTGTCGGTCTCCAGGAATCCGTTATCAATTCCATCTCCGTCTGTAAGTACAAGAGGGGAGATGGCCTCATCGAAGGCACCGAGTGTTCGGTTTGCCTCAATGAGTTCGAAGATGACGAGACTCTGCGTCTCCTACCCAAGTGTAGCCACGCCTTTCACCTCCCCTGTATTGATACTTGGCTTAGATCCCATAAAAATTGCCCCTTGTGTCGTGCACCTATCGTCTCTAACACCGCCGGGCCTCCTCTGACTGCGTCGTCGGCGCCTAATTCGAACAACTCCGCTGCCGTGGTCGAAATTCGGGTGGAGAATTCTGAGACTGACGGCGGATTTGGAAGCAATCAACCAACAGAAGGTGTGATTTGCGAAACCATGAGTGTTGGAGCTGAAAATGAAGAACGTCAAGTCCCAGTCGAGGATGAGGAAAGGAGGGATACTATGCTTGAAAAGGAGGAACAGGAGGTTGTGTCTTCATCCCTTCCGAACTCTGGGTTTCGTATTTCCAGTGAATTGGGCCGAAGTCATCGGGAAGGGGAAGATAAGATGCAGCCAGTGAGACGGTCAGTTTCCATGGATTCGTCTCAGGCTGCAATGATCAGTCTTTCTATGGCTAACTTTCTTCCATTACAATCGGAAGCGAGCTCATCTAACAAATCCAATTCGGCTATTGTTACAAAGCATGGCAGTCAAAATATGAGCATTGTGAAGCTAATCGGTAGTTCTTCTGCAAAACAATCTCTGCAGAAGGGGCCTATTTCCATGAAAAGATCATTCTCAAGCGGTGGCAAGTTCTTGTTTTCCAAATATAGCCGGAGCCGGAATTCAATCCTTCCTCTGTGAGTTTTTTCTCTCTTCTAGTTCAGGCTATATTGTGAAACAGGGATATCTTTAACCACTCTCATCAAGGTTGGAGTTCCCTGTTTCTATCCATACATAATAAAGTAATTTGTTGGCGATCTATATACAAGTGTAAAAACAGAGCCTAAGAATGAAATATGGCTAGGGAGAAGAATTTTTGTGTTCAGCCTGCCATTTCAAGTTCATAATGAGATCTAAGAAATTCGCAGACCCATGCAAATATGTCTTTTATTTCTATATCCTACAAGAGAAGTTAAGATGTAGCTTCCTGTGATACAATTATGTTATATGCAGGAGATTGTGGAAATTTTGAGGAAAAAAAATATCTGTTTTTGTTTCTATATGATTTTGTCCAAAATGTTTCTTGCCAGACAGGCAAGCCTGTTTGGGTTCTGGTGATCTCTATTAGCCTCTTTCTTTATCTATTTCCAAGGATAGTGGACAGTATTAAGTAGTTGATTTCTATTTGTTTCCTTTATCTGAATGGATGGATGAGGATAACATTTTACACTTCTCTTTCTCTGTGTAGTCATATTTGCTTCTACCCTTGGTTATTTATACTTTACCTAGTTTGATATGTGGAGACCAAGTTTGCTACTACTATTTCATACTGAGGTGCCATCTAAAGGGTTTAACATGTTTACCTTGTTGCTTAAATAGTTCAATTATTGTTACATGTTAGTAGCATCTCTCATGCACCATTTTCTTTCAATGATTTGCATGCTGATTTTGCTAGTCTATTCTTTTTATATCTCTTCTAATAATTTAACAGTGTATATGACTTTAAATAGAATGGATTGATGAAACAGGATTCATGTAGCCGACCCCAAATAGTTGGGATTAGGCATAGATGATGATGATTCTTTTTATATCTCTGGTTCTTTTCATACAGTGAAGCTGTTGCATGGTTAGCCCTCTGCTTTAGTCAACAGTCTCTGGTTTGAGCAAAACAGCATTGCAAGATTTCAAATATAAGCAGACATTAATAGATAATTTTTTCTTGTCTACACATTTCCTTCCCTGTGGTCAATTCCTACACAATTGTTTATCAAAGTGTTTCTTTTAATAAAGGGCATGATGCCTCCAAAGAAAGATTTTTAGGCAAGTTAACTTTAACACTTCTCTTTAAAATCCTTCCATTCCCATTTTATTTTTATTGTTCAAATAACTAGTGGTTGGTGAAGAGCAAATATTGCAATCATCTTCAAAGCTCCTTAAGTTTGCTCAAAAAGAACCAATGTTAACCAAATCAAAGTTTGCTCAAAAAGCACCAAAATAAACCAAACGAACCTAAACATTTTGATCCTATCCATTTACTCTGTCTCCTGTTTTTTTTTTTAACATTTTTTTTTTTAATTTCCATAGGATATTAATGACTATCCTGCTTGAAAGAGATGCAGCATGCTCAACCTCCAGGAAACTCATGAAATAGATTAAGTAGATTTTATAAGGAGGTAAGATTTATTGCTGTAAATCTTCTGTACAATTTGGTACAGAGAGCTTAAACATTAACAAAACTTGAGATATGGTCAACCGAATTTAATGTCGTTGGAGTCAGTGCCTGATAATTATGTCATGTACATTTTGTTAGAGCCAGGTATGGGGCAGGGTAACAACAAGGAAAATCCAAAGATCTCTCTCTCTCTCTCTCTCCCCATCTGCAGAGACCTCGGAGAATGCCATCAATCTCAAGTCCTCCATTTATACAAGTAACATCTTGCAGCCATATTATTAATCATTAACATATTGTACCAAGGGGGTATCAGGCAAAATTAAGATTTTTTTTTTCTGCACTGAACGATCGATCATTCTCTTCAGATGTGTCTAGCATGCTTGGAGAGGTGGGAGAGATAACCTTCAAGAATGCCATCATTGCCTGATCCTTGATATGCAAATGGTGGTACGCATGGAGGTGCTTTCAGAGCATCTTCATTGCAGTTGAAATTGCAATAATTAACCAAGTTGATGAAACAAGCTAAGTTCTAGATGGTTGTTTTCTCAAAATATCATAAAATTCAGCAATTTTTGGGGGAACAGTTTAATCCAAAAAAGTATACAGCATGGAATTTATATTCTTCATCCATTAAAGTTGTCTACAGGTCTGAAGGGGGAAGCATCATCTTATCTCCAATACTTTTGTCAATTGACAGCCATCTGCAAATGCAGGAAGAAAATGGTATATATCATCTTATCTCCACTTCAATCAACAATCCATTTTCTTGAAGAAGATGCTGAAGTATTTGAATATATCAATGCAAGGTAGTTCTATGAATGAACTATTCAAATTTAAATTCAGCTTAGTAATGATGAATATCTTAGTCAAGAAGTTGAAACCATTCAGCTATCATCCCAACCAACAGTTGTGTACACTAAAAATAATTTGCCCTTTCTCAATCTTTACTTGATTGTAGAAGAGTTTGTTTGTTTAGAAGCACATATACCAAATGACTAATTTATACTGGGTATAGGGTGGATCTGAATAACACACAACATTATTATTATGGTACACGATGTTAAAAATGGATTGGATCACAGACTTGAACACTGTCTCCACAAATACTGTTACAATCTGCCACAAGCCTAATTGAAAATTGTATGAAGAAAATATCTTCTAGTTGAACATACAGAGCACTAATATAGAAATTGCAAAATACTACCCTGGTCTTTGTAACCTTAGAGGAATAGAGCATAGGATGATTTTTCTTGCTGATAGTTGTCATTGACTTAACACAACTCTTCCTAAGACTCTCTCTGTATCTGGCTATCTGCTATACAAAATAGTCAATTTGTGTGTAATTTATTACCGTTCTTTTAGTAAACTATGTTGTATGACGCCTTGAACTGTCAGTTTAGAAAGAATGAAATATTTGTTGCCAAAAGTATCTTGTTTAGAACCATTGTGAATATTAGTTTTAGGCTTCATTTGGCATTCCTTATTTAGAGGACTTGTTGCCTTTTTGCAGTTAAAAACTCAGTGTTTATAGGGGCCTTTTAACTGCAAAAAGGAGATAAGTCCTTAAAATAAGGAATGCCAAATGCAGCCTTATCTTCCTATGTTCCTCGATTAGAACTGAGATTTGTCACCAAAATGGAGCTTCTCTAGTTTGCTCTGGGTCTATGTCTGGCCTTGACTTAATATCTCTAGTTAGCTCTTAGTCTAGGGTCTGAAGATGAAACTTGAGGGTTGACATTCTATAAAGCAATCATATGATTGCTGGTGCCAATTCAACTATTATTAAACAACAATTATAATTAGGGATAACAATTTCTGACCCAATCCACATAACCCATCCAAACTTACACATGCATGTACTTGGCGAATTGTAAATGGGTTGACAACCCATGTTGGTTTAGGTGGGTGGGTTGGGTGATAGGTACCCAATGGGTGCCCTCCCAAATTCCCATATTCTATACCAGCCTTCTTTCTCTGTCTATCCACATTCTCTCTCTCTCTCTCTCTCTCTCTCCCACATGCACCCACATTCTACTCCCAGTTATAAATACGAATCAGGACTCATCTTAAAAAATACTTATCGGCACTTGTTGAGAATGAAGAGGTTTGTATACTACTCATTGGACACTGAAAGATTGACCAAGCCAAATTTGTTGATTAGAATTTTTCAGAATTCAAGTTTATCTTATGAAGGCACGTTTTGTTTCCTGGTGTATATGCAGCAGTCCAAACATATATGGAAGTGCCATTCCATATTACCTTGCTTAATTACGACTCATTTCGTCCTATTTCTATGATACATTATGTAGTCAACTATTCAATCTGGAACTTAATAGTTGTTACTTTTCTAGATGTTATATGGAGTGACATGAGATACAGAAATTGCCAATTAGTAGTCTGTGTGCAGAAATGTCTGATCATTTTGTCATCTTCGAGTGGATAACTTATGCAAGCCTCTAAAATTCCCTAGTTCTTTGCTAGTTGATCCCTCCAACTCATAAAATAATTCCCTAGTTCTTTACAACAACCATAGTGATTTTTGTACTTGTCTTAAAAGCTTTCTTCTCATGCCTCCATGGTGTTGAGCACCTTTATGAGGAGCAAATCCAACTATGTTTAATTTCTGTGATAACCTTTATATTTTGGTTTCTTTTTCTTTCATTTTAACTGAACAAGTTCGTAGTATATATTGGTCTCGAGCAAAATAGGAATGCCTTTGTGACTTTGTGTGGGGTAGTCAAATCAAGCTCCAGAGGATCAAAAAGTTGTAGCTTGAATTGGAGATCTTGAATCTAATAGATTAAAAGTTGCCCAGGCCAGCCAGCAAGCACTCAAACTATCCATACTCTTCATATGCAAAATACTACTCGATCGAAGTCACCTTTGGCCGGTCTGTTAGTTGCAACATCGAATTGGGCCGGCCCAATAACAAGGTAAGGAAGGAAACCATTTCTTTGCCTAGAGCTTTCTAGTTAGCAGCATGGATCAAAGTATAAAGATCCATTTGCATCTATTTCGTCTGGTAACCAACGGTGCAAAGAGGCTTATATTGGGCATGGCGGAAGAACAATTGCGGATTATTAGGCTCATTTTTGTTGTAGGTAGAGACTGACGTGCCCCTATTTGTGGTGGTAACTGTTCTATGTGAATTGGAATTGTGATTCAAGGTTTCCAAGTAAAAATTGCCATTTCAATACGAAATCCGAAGAATGGTTTTTTCCTTGCAGGTTGACAATTTTAGAGCGGCATAGCTCAGTCTCTCCATGCTCGCCTCTGTTTCCGCATTAGCTCTTGGCCCCGAAGAGATGAGAGAGAGAGAGAGAGAGAGAGAGAACTAAACCAGAACTGGAATATTGTTCTTACCTTGGTGACCAACGATAGGGAAGGTAGATGCGAGGTGACTGTTGTATCATCCGGTGGGAAGAAGAGAGGAGACGAATTTTTTTTTTTATTTCGATGGAGAAGAAAAAAAACTAACATGAATTGAGTTTTACACCGATTTACGAGGTGTTTTAACACCTCTATCAAACGTCTGCAAAACCAGACCAAGAGTGCAATATTACACTGGTCCAGAGTTTACACTACAAACAAACACAACCAACCTAAATATACAACAGGATACTACACCCGATACTGTACCTTGGCCAGAAGGTTTAGCTTAGAGATGATGCCCAACTCCAGCAAAAAATAGAAAAAAATGCATTTAGTATAAATTGCTATTGCAAATATGTTTGACTCCTAAAAGAAAATATCTATCACTATATTATATAGCGATTTATTCCACATCAGAACATCAGAAGCTTCTCCTATTATTCCTCTCATTTATTCTTAAACATCTCTCCTTTCTCCTTTACCCTTTTTTTGAATCCCAGCTCTCTCTCTTGCAATCACATCTCCACCCCACAAGGGGCCACCCCACAACGCCCCACAACACTTCCCTGCCTTGTATTGAGAACATCTCCTGAGGATGTATTAGAACGGATGATGTCATCATCGGTAGATGTTCCCAATACACGGCAGGGATGTGCTGTGGGGCATTGTGGGGCGGCCCCTTGTGGGGCA